AGCGAGAGAGAATTGGGGGGATAGGAGTCGGAAAGAGATGGCTATAACCAGAGAGAAAGACAGGGAGAGAGAGAGAGCTTGGAGAACTGTGCGTAAATAATATAAACGTACGCATATAGCAGGAAAATTGGGGAAAAGGATGGAGAAAAGGAGCAGAAGCAGAGTCAGAAAGAGTAGAAGGAGAAGAAACATAGACAGGGGAAGAGGCGAAAGTGAAGAACTAAAGACAGGGAAACGGAGAAAGAGCAGAATCAGAGACAAGCCAAAGGAGAAATAGACCCGGGGAACAGGAGAAAGAGCCACAAACAGAGACAGGAACGGGGAGAGTACAACAAGTTGGGGGATCTAGGAGACATGTACTCCGTATATATATGTACATGGAATGACTGGGAATCGTAGTACTACTCCTCCAACACTTTGTCCCCGAAAAAGATACCAGAGTCTGGGTGGGGGATCTGTGAATTTGGTAAACGGGTTTTTGCTGCCCTCCGGGGGGTGCTCTATGTGTGAACCAAAGGCAACAATTCGGAAATACATTTATGTACATTGCGGGTTTTTCCTTGATGCTTTTCCTACATTTTTTTTCTCATTTTTTTGTTCATATTGTACGTTTTTCTTTTGTCTGCCATGATGTCTGGGAACGCATCCACATAGAGGAGTCCCGGGGACACACCAGGCGCAGACGCAGAGTCCTGGTGCACAGAGGTGCACGACCTCAATCGTGTCCAACATCCACAGCATCCACGAGGATGCTTGCCTGCCTGCCCCAATCCTCAATGTCTAGCTGCTGTCTGGGCCTGCCCCAAACCGGGCGAGGGGTTTTTTGGCTGCCTGTCTGGATCTGGTGGGAGTCTGAGAACTTGGAGGTTAACTGTGGGACAAAGGATTGCCGAAAATTATCACCGTCAATGGGGGGGACAGGCAGGCAGGCAGGCAGGCAGACCATGTAAACTAAATAGTACGAGTACCGGAGTACTGGAGTACATACATGTGTATGCCGATGCTGCATCCCCGAGCACTCGCATTCAATGGGGATGCTGCGCCAAGTTTTTGGAGGGGCAACCAACGACATGCGCAATTTGTAACACAAACCCAGTCTCTGCCAGCGCCCCGAAAACTTTTGCATTCTGCAGTAAAACTGCAGCAGCAGAAGAGGCAGCCGCAGCAGCAGCAGCAGAGGGGCGCCCACCATGGGGGAGGTCAAGAAACCATTTGCTGTTTTTAAAGCTGGGGAAATCTCTCTCTCATTCTCTGGTTCTCTCTGTCCGTTGCTTATTTACCAAAAAAAAAGCAACTAATAGAAGAGAAATATCATCTTGTTTTTGGTGGGGCATGGTCAAGGCATGCGACGTCTGCCACGTCTGGGATCCCGGGGATACATATGTACCCGCACCGTACATGGGCTGTGGCCACGGAGCTACTATTCGGACTGGCATTGGCATTTTGTTGTTGGGGGATGGAGGATGGGCGATGGAGGATGGAGGATGCGGGCGGGCTCTGCCTCCAGACATAAAGGAATCATAAAACTGTTAAATGTTATTATTCAATTTTGATACACGAAAATCAGCATTGAAAACTATCAAAACTATTTGCAATTAGCCATCAAATTCGGGAAACTTTCTAGGGATAATTGCAGTAAGTTTGGAAAAGTTTTAGAGACAAAACTTTTGGGAGATATCTGTAAGAAATCAATTATTAACACAAAGTTTTCTTAAAATTATTCTACAGCAATTTTAAGCACATTCTATGACTACTGGAAATCTATATAAATCCCTTAATTGACTAAATTTTGTAATGGTGTTTAATCGACAATGAAGTTAATAAAATAATTATACAGCTTATTCAATAATGGAATAATTCAATTACTGAAAGGAAACCCACAAAATGCTGATATGTTCTGGGGAGGAATGGTTTTGAAAGAGGAGTCGTACAAGTTTTGGAGAACGGCATTATATGGGAACATCAAAGCTAATAGTGGAATCCCTAAGAGCTTAACAAATCATAGGATCCAAGTCGATTCGAATATTAAGCTGCTTTTGGATTTATTTGAATTGAATGAATATTTATAATCCCAATCATTAATCATGAGATAGAAATAATGCACAACAGATGGGATTTTGAAACAGATATCATACTTAATGAGAATATTCTATACATTTACACATAGATTAAGTATAATCGATGGAAAAATACATAAGATCTAACTCTGAAAGCAGAGTACCTAGCTCTAGCCATATAATAGTACTAAGAAGAACTAGCTTTAGTATCCAAAAAGCTACCTCTCGAATATTTTCTATTTTCTAAAGTAAATTCTTATTACATAAGGTTCCAATTGCATTCCTTAAAAGTCAGGATTTGTTATGACCAATCAAACTTTTAACAATTCCGATAATTAGAAAACAATAATAAAAAAAAAAAATAAACATCATTCCAGAAATATATCCCAATTATTGTAACCTAACTTATACCCCATCAAGTAATTTCCCAAGAAGTCCCAGAGAGAGTCCCCCTACACTAATATTTATAATATCAACAGTATACCAAGTAAAACCCCTATAGTCGACTCACCTTGCTAAAGTAGCCCACAATATGACAGCCATCGATATCTGCCAGCGTCATGATGTAGAACAGAAATGGTTCCACATCATAGTAGAGGGTCTTGTGGTCCAGGAAGAACTTGGCCAGCAGACAGAGATGCTGACAGTATTGCTTATGGCGCTTGCCATCAACCTGCCAGACCTGCAGCTTCCCTTTGCGATAGATTTCATCGCCTGGCGGATGCCGCCAGACGCATTTCTCCGCATGCCGCTTGATGCCCGTCTCGGATTTCTGGTATCGCAGGCAGAACTCGCAAATGTACATCTTGGGCAGGCGGGCAGCATCATCCGGATACGGGGACTGATACCAGACTTTCATTTTGTATTTGCCCATGCTGATGTATCTGGATGAAAAGTTAAGAATGATTGTGTCTTTCTGTGTTGGTAAAACCAGGATTCACTCACTTGATTCCTTTTCCTACGGGCAGATCCTTGAGTTCGTCTTCTATCCTTTCGGAGGCCTGAGCCTGGGCCTCGCGAAACAATTGCAGGTCATAGTCGGGCACCAGGCCCGTGAGACTCGGTTCACGATCCTCATCGGTGCAGTCTTTTTCGAGCTTAACCTGAAAGAAAACCGAATAGTTTAATGAAGGATCATCAAATAATGAAGATATAGGGACAAACAGAAGTCAAAACCCACTTTTGAATCCATGAAATTATTATTGATGGGCCGAAAACTCGCTCGAGATTCTCTGATCTTGGCCAGAAACTCACGCTGTTCGGGCGTAAGCGATTTGAGATTTGTATGCTGATTGCCAGGCGCCTTCACAATGCTGATGGGCATCTTCCCACGTTGCTCGTTGCGGATCTTCCTCTCGCTGGCCCGCTCCTTGCACTCGGAGGCGGACATGTTGTGGTAAATAGGACACGCTTCGGGCAGAAAATGCTTGTCCAGATTGCCGCTGAGGTGGCCAGAGGAGTCGCAGCCCTCGATGGGGCACTTCTTCTCCGTTTGGGTAATGGGCGACACTGGACGAGACTTGAGGGAGCTGAACACTCCACTACTAATGGCAACTCCCTCCTTTTTCACCTTGCTCTTGGCACTGTTGAGGATTGAGGGAGCCGGCTTCTTGCCGGGGCTGCTTTTTGTGAGCAACATCTTGTCGTTCTCCAGATCCTCATCCGATTCGTAGTCGGTCTCCTCTTTGGGCTGTTGCTGTTTGGACCTGCGCATGCTCAGCGATCGGGTTAGCTTTCGCATTGGATTGGCCTTGTCCTTGCGCTCCTCCTCGCTGTCCGATCGTGGCGGCTTGCCACCTACTACTGGCCGCTTGCCCTTGGCATTCTTGGGCGGCTGAGAACTGTACGAGTTGCTGGAATCACTGCCCTCCGAGTCGCTCCCCGAGCTGGATTCATCCCCAGAGCCGGTAGCGCTCTCTGAATCGCTTCCCTCGCTGCTGATTGGCGGTGGTGGTACTGGCACTGGGGCTGGCCCTGCACCACTACCATTCTTCTTGATTTGCGGCAGTTTACCTCGAGCTGCAACCTGCTTAGCCCGTACTGTGCTGGCCATCTTGAGGGGCACCTTGCGGCCGTTCTTGGTCACTTTTGTCGAGTCATCCGTGCTGTTGGAGGAGGAGGAGAGCGATGGCCTCTTGCAGTCCCCATTCTCCGTGGCCCGAGCGACTGGCGCAGATCTCTGTGGTGGATTATTGCTTCTGGATGCCGGCGGAGGCTTTGCTCTTCCTATAGCAGGAGGTGGCTTCCGCCTTGTTGCTGGTGCTGCTGTGGCCGCTGTTGCTGCGATTGCGGCTGTTCCTGTGTTGTTGGAGCGTGCATTTTTCTTCACAGGCGGCGGCGTGTCATCCTCGTCGTCGTCATCGCTGGTCAAACGATGATTGGAGGCCGCCACGGAGCGCACTTTACTGGCAGCCGAGGTCAGAGATGTCGTACCGAAAGTCTTGGGCTTTTCTGCTTCTGTCGCTGTCGCTTTTCGGCGTAGCGCTGTGGAGCCGGATGTTTGTTGTTGCTGCTGCTGCTGGGATTTCGAGGCCGGAGCAGCTGCCGTCGAGGGTTTCTCCTCGGGCGTTGCACTGCTGGAATCCGAGTCCGAGGAGCTGCCCGTGTCTGTGCAGCTGGTGGAACCACTTGTTGTTGTGCTGCCCGACTCTGAGCTGCTTGTCCCCGACTCCATGGCCATTTTTTTGAGCGCACAAATGTTTTGTAAGCAACACAAATGCGTTTTTATTGTTTTTTTGTTGTTTTGGCAAATGTGACCAGAGGTGGTCTGGCGTGAAAATACCAAGGTAAACAAGAAGTGCGATAACAGACAGATGATTATCGATAAGTGCAATCCGTTACCAACACTACCGCTGTTTTCTGGCGATGTGACTTTTTGTTTACATTTTATGTTTTATAATATTTATATTAGGCAGCGCTTAGCGTCAATTAGCTCAGTAAACTAATTAGCTGAAAGCAGGCATTGTTTTATATTCTAACGTAGTCTATCGCCAACAAGTAACAGGTTCCCGGATATTTGTCCCATCCCTAGGTCAGTTGTAAATAATGCAAAGAAAATATTTTCTTGAACTTATATTTTTAGATCTTTCAGATTTTACCATGTACAACGTGGATTGCATACCCATCAAGGACATCAAGCCGGGCCTGAAGAACATCAATGTGATCTTCATTGTCCTGGATGTCGGTTCTGCAACGGTAACGAAGGAAAATCGGGAGGTGCGAAACTTTAAGGTGGGCGATCACACGGCCAGCATAAATGTTTCCATTTGGGACGAGCCCGGAAAACTAATCATTCCGGGGGATATAATTCGGCTGACGAAGGGCTATGCATGCCTCTGGCGGCACTGTCTCACCCTCTATTCCGGCAAGAATGGTGAGGTCTTCAAAATCGGCGAATTCTGTATGATTTTCAACGAGAATATCAATATGAGCGAACCCAAAAGGCCAGAGCCAGCACTCGTGCCACCAGCCGCTCTGCCAGCCGTCCCGCCAGGCGCAGTTGTGGGTCCTTCGGGCGTGCCAGCCAAAGGTGGTCCCGCTGGTATCTCTCCAGCCGTGGTGCCGGCGGTTCTCCCCGTGGTCCAGCCTCCCATCCCCGTCACTGCACCCGCAGCCACGCCCACTGTGGTGAAGCAGGGCACCCGCGGCGGCCGAGGAGGAGGACGAGGTGGCTCCCACAAAGGGGAAAGGCGATAAAGACATAGGCAGGGATTTCGTAGCGCATTAGAAAAAGTGCTAAAAGTTATGTAAAATGTTTTATTTATGGTTTATTTTGCAAAATCGAAAAGACACAAATCAGATATCGAGAGATTGTGCAGCATTTTTCTTCGGACACATTTATAAGATAATATTTTATAATTAATATTGTATTTTTGTAAGACAACATCTACATAAACGATCCTTAAGAACATTCTCCATCTCCTTCTCCTCCCTTCAGTGTGCATGTGTGTTGTGTGCTTATGTGTGTGTTTCTGTATGAGTGTGTGTGTGGAATTTAGCTTATGCTTCTAATCCTTCTTTTTGGGGGATATCCATCGCTTAGATCTTCTTCTTCTTCTCGTAGTTGGCCTGGATGGCTTTCAGCAACCAACCGACCTCTTCGACGGTCTTGATCTGATAGTTGGCATAGGTCTTCAGGGTTGGCAGTTCCGAAACGCGGAAGGTCTTGCCAATGCCATGCAGCACCTTGATGGCATCCTCATCGGTGGTGTCGTCGCCCACATATATGATCTTCAGGTTCTTGGCCCAATCGGCATCGAACTGCTTCTCCAGGATCATCTTGGCGCCCTCTCCTAGAATGGAAAAGAATAACGTTTGCGGTTAGAGAAGGTTTTATTTTATACCGAAGCCATTTGGTATGATAGTTTTGGATGGTAATTTGTACTATAGAGAAATTCCTAAACCTAAAATGCATGCTTTAAAATTTCAGTCGTCGACTGCCTGCTTTTGAGCGCTCTTGTGACTTTTAAACAAAATTTAAGAGATTCAAATTAAAAAAATTATAAATTCAATTAAAATGCCAAAAAAATGTATGGGCACTTCTAATCTTACTATTATATTGCCTTTGGCCAAAAACTTTATTGAATATTTCATTGATTTTAAGGAAAAGGGACCCTACCAAATACAGAACGATATCCCCTAATTGATAGAGACAATGATGGAAAGAATATACATAAATCTACACACATACATAGGCTATATAGATCCTACTGGAAGAAATATTTCTTAGCCATGAAAACACAATCCAACTTCATGGATCTCTAAAGGCTGCATATATCGTGTTGGAGAAGAATGCCTTTCCTGAATATCTGAATAGGCAAACGACCATAATTTTTCAATAAAAATAACTATAATAAATGTGGAAAATATCCAAATTCCAGTTCATGCCATGCATTCTGTTTGAACAAACTCCAAAATTGAACTTAATGGGCTTTGCACTGCTGGGAACCATCCAAAACTGTTGAATAAACATCAAGCACAGAAATGTTCTACATTTTTGAGAATTGTTTTCTAGACACACATTTTGGATGGTTGTATAAAAACGCCTGCAGCGCCAAAAAAAAAGAGAACTGAATTCTGCCCCATTCCCCACACTATGCCTCTTTCTCCCGTTCTACGAGTATGTATGGGGATTATTTATAGCTGTCTACGTGGGCGGATCTTCTGGGTTTCGTTTCAGTTGTTGGTATGGTTTGGCCAAGTAAATGGGTGTTTGGGAAATCATTTAGCCGCTCGCCCGCTCGGTACACAGTTAGGAGTAGTACTCGTACATATATCATCTATATAGATCATTTGTCTGTACATCTCTTGGTTTTTCTCTCTGGGGTATTATTATTTTAATTATGTTATTTTTTCCTGTTCTACTCTTAAGCGTTTAACGCTACATTTTTGTTTAATTGGTGACGCAGTCTATAGATCATTTAAGTCCCCCCAGACCCAGACCCACAGCCATATTGCAGTTTTCTCTTCTTTTTCAGACGGCACCAACAATTCCTCTTCTCTTCTGTATACCTCCGTCGAGACTTCTAAATGTTCAACAAATTTTATCATGAGCAAAAAAATAAAAATTTTTCCGTGTGTATTTTTGAGGTTTTGTTTTTGCTTTCCTTCTTTTTGCAATAATTTCGTTCTGCCTGTTAGAAATTTATTGCCTTTGGAGGCGTACACAATCATAATTAATTTTTGATTTTCACGCATTTCATGCACGAAACATATACATACATATCTGTCTTAAAGATATATATTTATCGTGTATTTTGTCGCCACGGCTCATTGGCCTGAAAGATGATTTTGATATGAGACTTTTGGCTGGTTGGACGACATCTAGAGGACAGAGGCGACAAGTGGGTCTCATAAATCTCCATCTCCAGTGGGGTATACATTTTTTTGTGTGTGGCAAATTTTAGTTGTGGGAATTTAAGCAATCCGTTGGAATTTATTGAATATTTTAAGCGGTTTAGAAGACGGAGCCATACATTTTATATCATTTAATTTGAAAAAATTAGAATTTGAATTTTATTGAAAATGGGAAAGGTAATAAATTAGTTATCTTACTGATTTTTTTCTAGGGGATTCCCTTTAGAGTACCTACAACTTGAGAAGAATTTTATACAACGATCTATATTGAGTTAAAAATTTGAAATGTTCCTTTTCTGAATTTCCACTAGTTATAGAAGTATTTTTCCTATAAAAAAATAAATATTTTTCCCACTAAACTAAAAATTCATCACTCAAAATACTGTTCTTCTGTTTGTATCTTTGAAGCCACGCAACGTTAGCTGAAAACGTCATCAAAATCAAATTCGTTTCGGCCCTCATTTGGTTCCATTCATCTAAAATTACGCATACCCCACCACATACCACTAAACTTAGACGAAATGTGTTTCTCTAGTTCTAGTTTCCTTTCCTACAAATATTGTGACTCAAAGATTCAAATCGAAAGTGAAAACTTGTGTGTATGAAATATTACAAAGATTTGTTAATTTATCATAAGGAATCGGGCGAATGAGTAACTATATATACCTTATACTCGTATATTCGTAGGATGGGGGAATACATACAGTATGTCAAGAAACTCTTTACACACTGAAATTAAATTACATTTTTTGACTTTGGATAAGAAAATAATGGCCTTTGATTCAAATTTATCAAATTTTTTTAATTCCTAACCATTCAGGGATTAATTATAAAGTAGTTAGTGAAAAAAGAATAACAAAACTATAAATAGGTAACTTACAAAACAACAAAAACAATGATTACTCATTTTTGACACTGTCAAGAAACTCTTTACACAAAATATTTTCATTTTTTAAATTCAAAATTCTTCGTAATTATTTAATATATTTAACTTATTTTAATATTTGGTATGTCCTCCCTTAGCATTGACTACATGCTGGAGCCGTTTTTTCATCGAATTTATCAGTTTTTGTAGGTCATACTCAAAGGGAATCTTTTGCCACTCTTCCAGTATGAATTCTTTTAGCTGATTGCGGTTTTTGGGCTGTCTTTTCCCACTTTTTTCTTCAAGTAGGCCCACAAATTTTCAATGGGGTTAAGATCGGGACTCTGGGGTGGTGTATCAATAACTTTTCCACAGTTGTAAAGCAGCCAAGCTCTCACATTGGACTCTTTATGTTTGGGATCATTGTCTTGATAAAACTTGAATTTAGCCCTATTGTCCGTAATGAGACCAAATTTCTCCGCACTGCTTTTTAAATTTGTTTTTAAAATTTAGAGGTACTGTTTGACATCCATTGTGTTCTCAATAAATGCAATATTTCCCACTCCTCGGATAGAGATGCACCCCCAAATCATAACCGCAAGTTTTCCAAACTTTACAGTCGGAAAGATGTTTCGGTTATCTAAAGCTATTAACGGCTTGCGCCATACTCTGGGTGGACCATCATTGTAATAAAGCATCATTTTTGTTTCGTCGCAATATATGACGTCATCCCAATACTCTGCCGGCTTACTGATCATGTTAACAGCGAAAGTGAAGCGCTTTTCCACATTGACCGACGAAAGCAGCGGTTTTTTTCGTGCCATTCTGGAAGAGTATTTATGGCGTAGAATAACCTGGCGTACTGTTTCGTGTGAAACAACCAAGTCAAGTTCTTCGTCAAGTTCCTTGGCCAGAGTCCTGACCGATATTTGTGGATTCGGATTAACTTTCCTCATAATTACGCGGTCTGCCCGTCTGTCTATCTTCCTTTTACGGCCACCTCCACATTTTGTTTCCAGTCTCCCTTCGTTCTTCGCGAAACTTAGGACATTGTAAATTGTTTTCCTTGATACTGAAAACATGTCTACCATGTCTGCAACAGATTTGCCCAACTGGTGATTATAGTAAATCATTTGGACAACGTCAAACCTTAGTCTTTTGCCAGGCATTTTAAAAATTTCAGAAAGTTAGTCTGTAGATGTCACCCGGTCAAAATTTCGCAACCAAATCAAAGTCAATGCAAAAATAGAGCAGCACTGAGCAACGCCAAAAGCATAGATTACGGTAAAGTCCCGTTTTTTCTAAGAACGAGATCAAAACAGAGCTCGAAAACGAAATGTGTAAAGAGTTTCTTGACAGTGTCAAAAATGAGTAATCATTGTTTTTGTTGTTTTGTAAGTTACCTATTTATAGTTTTGTTATTCTTTTTTCACTAACTACTTTATAATTAATCCCTGAATGGTTAGGAATTAAAAAAATTTGATAAATTTGAACCAAAGGCCATTATTTTCTTATCCAAAGTCAAAAAATTTAATTTATTTTCAGTGTGTAAAGAGTTTCTTGACATACTGTATATGTTTAGGCGCGCTTTTGACATCAGTTCGCTGCGGGATGTTTTGTCTAGAAGAGCATTTTTTATATGTGGCAGACAAATGCATATATATATTCTTATATATGTGTGTATCACTGAGAGATTTTAATTTAGTCGGAAAATATTTTTCGTTGAATATAAGTATTTCTTGTGAAAGACGCCCACTCAAAATAGAGAAAATGTTGGCAATAATTAAATCATCGAACCGTCGAGTCAAAAATCGAATTGTTTCGAACAGGTGCCGAAGTGTGGACGGGGGGAAATGGAATGCCATGGGGCATGGGGACAGGGGACAGGGGACAGGACAGTTCTTTGGCAGTCACCACCACCAAATGGATGGCAACAGTTGTTGCAAATGATGATGATGATATATCGAATCGAATAAACATATAAAGAAAATGGAACTAACCTTTGTCCCAGTTGACGCGTGGCTTGCCCTCCAGAGCATAGGGGGTCTCAATCAGTTGGAAGCCATGGGACTGGATCAGACCCTTGGCCTCGGCAATGAGCTTGGCCTTTAGCTTATCGGTGACGCCCTTGTAGTGATAGGTGACGGAGATCTTCTTATCCTCCACCCAGGCACCAGAGCACACAACCTTAACGAAAAGAGAGTACAGCACTCTTTAGAGAGATCCTTTAAGAAGAATTTGTGTCTGTATCCTTTGAAGACCCACCTTTTCCTTCAGCTCAGCCACCAGTTTGTTGTGCTTCTCGAGCAGCTCTTCGGGCATTTCAATCTTGAACTTTTTGCCGGAGGGATACTCCACCTCCAGACCATGATTACCGGCATAGGTGACATTGGGGAACTTCAGATGGTTCTTGATCTCGCTCAGCTCGCGACCGGAGAACACAACCATGAAGATCTTCTCATTGGCAGCCAGTTTCTTGATGTTGATCTCCGTATCCTTGGGCATCACGGACAGCTCCTCGGTGAGTGGGGCGAGGGTACCATCGTAATCCAGGAGCAAGACAACCTGATCCTTTTCGGGTGCGATGAAACTGTGCACAGAAACACATGGAAACTTAGTTGCTCTCCTTCTGCTGAAGATCCTTTGCGACTTACCCCTCAAGGGCCTTGACGTATTCCTCCTCCTTCTTTAATAGCGGTGCCTTCTTTTGCTCTGCCATTTTATTGCCACTCTATATATCGAAATATTTGACCGATTTTCTTCGTATCTACCGGAAACTGCGCGCCGTGCTGGACGTACCTCGACCGATTTAATAATACTAATGAAATGACCAGCGATCCTCAACAACCGCACATCGCTTATGATATATAAGTATCCGCGATCCAATGATCTCTGCTCTCTTTGGCAACTCTCTCTCTCACACTCTCGCGCGCCTGCTCGCTCGCTCGCTCACTGAAAGGTGTTGGCAACCCTGGCCCGTACGTTGGCCAAGTAATTCCCACAATATTTATGAGGCATATATATGTATATATGAGCATAAAAAAACACATTCTATAATGGATCTTCTTGTGTATAGGAGCAGAACGATGTATATATTAAAAGAATGACTATACACACATACGATACACATCACATACGATCTGTGGTTCTATCCACACAAAATTTCTTATGACAGAGAGGAGAGTCTTGGTCGCAGAGAGGGGGCAAAGAGTGAGATGGAGGTGGTTATATAGTGACGATGTCTTTGATGCACCTTTGTTTGAGGTCGTTTGTGTTTTTGGAATCATTTTTGGCTAGTGGTTGACACACTTTGGAAGAGAAAAATACTTTGATTTTGCTGGGGATCTGTAAACATAATTTTTACTAAATTAAACATCAATCTTTATATATATATCTATCTATCTTTGGACTGCTAATCCAATGAGAGATCAGGCAGCAGGAAATCATGATTGTCGAAGTATCTATAAAAAATTTTCTCAAAAATATTTATTCAATATTTGGCTTTGATCTTCAAACAAGTAGAGATTATTTATGTTTTTGCCATAGGATTAAAAAATCTATCTATTTATCAACGGACCAATTAAACAACAACTTATCTCACAATCATTATCTTATAGAAGTTATATGTGTCTTCATAAGATATCTTATGCACAATTGTACGTGGCTTTTAATGATTCTAATTTGTACATACTCATATGTAACATAGATGGAAGACCTTCAAAAAGGATCCAGAAGGTCCGAAAGTATAGCTTTGAAACTCTTGAATAAAGGTTCGCTCGTTTTCGTCCAATATTTTACTTTGGGTCGTCGCCCGATATTTTATACAAAAGTATATGTGGTATATATGCCAGTAAGTATATACCTTTATAAATAATACATTCCGAAGCCACAGATTCAAGAATATGCACCTATCTTGAGTTTGTAAAAGCAGTTTTCAATTTCTAAAAAAACCTCCACTTTTCAAAAATATATTTTCAAATCATTATGTGTCGAGTAAATGTACATACAATTTCACTTAATATATAACTAGCTAAACCAGGAAATATAGAAGTCTAGGAAATATAGACATGGGCTATCCACTTGAGAAGATCAGTCATTAGAGCCTGTTGGGGCAATCGAAAGTCTGCAAAGGTCTGGACCTTGGCATCGGAAGCAATGCGGAATGAACGACCCAAGCCCTGGAGAGCCTGAAAAGGAAGAAAGTAGCTTTCAATTGAATAAACTTCGTTGAGAGAATAAGAGAGGAGGACTCACCCTCATGGCATCTTCATCGGTGGTATCATCGCCGGCAAAGACGACCCTCACATTCTTGGGCCAAGTGTCGCCAAACTTCTGCTTCAGAATGTAAAGAGCAGCATCGCCCTTGTTCCAGTTTACTGGAGGTTTAGCCTCAATAGCCTCATGGGCCTGATTTGCCCGGAAACCATGACGCAGACAGATCTCCGTGGCCAACTTCTTCTGTTCGTCCTTCAGCGCCACAGGTGTATCACGATAGTGATAGGTGAGCGATACCCGCTTATCCTCCACCCAGGCATCATTCTTCTCCACCTTTTCCTTGAGCTCTCTGACCATATCCGTGTAGTTCTTTTTGATTTCTGCGGGCAGTTCGTAGTCGTGCCTCGAGCCATCTGGATATTCGATCTCCAGGCCATGATTTCCCGCATAAGTAGTGCCATCGATGCTCACATGAGCCTGGACATCCCTCAGGCCACGACCCGAGATAACAGCCAGGAATATCTGCGGATGTTTGGCCAATTTATGGAGCGTCTTTTCCAGTTCCACGGTCATATGGGTGGCGCTTGGATTATCCGCAATGGGTGCCAAAGTGCCATCGTAATCCAAAAGAATTGCCAACTTTTTGTCTCTATTCAGGTAGCTAAGATCAGAGGGAGAGTGCGACAGATTAGAGACTATAAGGTCTTATCAGCAGTCGCTGCCCCGTTACATGACATAGGCAAGGTCAAAGATTAGCACTTAATCCCTTGGACATACCCAGGTAGCTTCTGTTCGAACTCCTCCAGGCTGTTGATCACGGGAGCCACTCTCTTCTCAGGCATTCTGATATCTTCCTGTTTACTCCTTGTTAGGGTTATGATCAGTACCAATAGGTATATGAGTTTTGCTTGGACTTGCACTGAAATTGATTTGTGCGAAGAATATTAGTTCCGCGTTTGGTTGTGTCTTATCTGCTGCTTGCTGCTTTCTCAATGCCTGAGCTACAACTGTGAGGGTTTTGCTTGGCACAGCTGGCATATAAATCGAATGATAGTTTCTCTCTCTCTATTGATAAGAAATCGCAGAGGCGGTGAAGTCTCTCTTATTCTCAGCCTCTAATTTGTGTCTCCCTCTCATCTCTGCCTCTCTTTTTAGCTAACTACCACAGACACTCTTATGGAGTATTGCTATGAGTTTTCCATAGTTTACCTTTCTGTATGGAATAGAGTGGTTTGTATGCACGTCCCTGCACGACACCTGTCCCTGATGGATCTTCAATGCGTTTTGAGTTGTTGCCTTACTGTCGACTGCAGTTTTATAACAATTTTCCGTTCGGTTCGGTGCCACATCGTTTCCTCAAACACTTGTTTTATTATTATTTTTTTTTTTTATTGGGAAGGGAACAAAGGTCCCCTCCATATATCTGCTCTGTTCTCCATGCATCATGCATTGCCGTCGTGGCTGGCGCGTGCATTGCCTTCTCTTTCATTAATTTTCATTTCAAAGGTGATAAAAACAAAAACCAAAATTCATAAATTTCATATGTACCATAAACCATAAAGCCTTTAACCCATACCTCTGCTCTTGTCCTTCGAATACGCTTTAATTGGTAATGAGAATGCAAATCTGGTTGTGTCCTCGACCCTGTCCTCCGACAAATCCCTTTGACGTGACAATACGCGTGTCTGCCGGCAGGAGGTAACCAGAGGAGAGCCCTCTCTTAGGCCCACTCCTAATCCAAGCCCCCGCCCCCGTCCTGGCCTGTATTCGCCCACATCTGGCCAGCCCGATTTCGGGGCACAAATATTTGTTGCATGCACTGGAATTGATTAGGCGACAGCAGCGCGTCTAATAATAGCCACAGCATGAGCGCGACACGCGAAGTCCATGGAGACACAAATCCGAAAGAGGTGAAGGAGTGAAGGGGTGAAGGGGGAGCATACAAATGAACAAGGGGTGTAGGTGTGGGCTGGAGGTATTGGTCGAATATTCGGGTTTGCATTATCGTTTTAAACATTTGGTGAGTAATTTATGAGATTTCTCATACTCGCTTTTGAATCATATTGGGTATATGCAGCGTTTTGTAAAGTTTGTATGAGTGTTGTGTGTTGATGCAAGTAAATCTCGCAGTTGGTGTATAGAACATGCCCCAAATGCATGCTCAGACGCAGACAGGCAGCCAGACCGAGGCCTAGACCTGGCCAAATTGTTTACTAGCCGTACAAACAGTATTATCGCATCGGGGGAGCGTGAGAGCAGTGCAGAGTAGGCAACCCACTCATATCGAAGGGGAATGGAATATCACACTGTCTGCTCGATGAGGCCAAGCCGAGAGTTGTTTATAATCGAATTGGGGCGGCAATCGTCCGCAAGCCTATGTGCGAGTATATATAACTTTCACTTTAATTAGATCCCACACAATTTTCGCACTGTAAACAAGTATCTGGTGTGGCATCATCGCACGTGCAGCTCCCCTCTGACAGCGGACAGCCCTTGGCACGGCTCCCCTCTGCAGCCAGAAACTGTATCAACATCATCAAAATATTGACTCAGACAGATCCATCTCTCTGTATTCCAAATGCATTTTCTCACTCACTTTCGCAACGATTTTCACGGATTGGTTTGTCAGAGATCTTAATTTGAGCAATTTGTCAGACCGAAATCTGTCAATTAATGGAAATACAACTAGATGCCACTTTGATACACAGTTTTTGGTAAATATTTTTGCAAATGATCGAATCGATTTTTTTTTATTTTCTAAATATTTTTGTTTTTCCCGAAAAGCTTTTCCAAAAGCTCGAAGATCAAGTTTGCTAAACAGGTAATAGGCCACGGGGGCCAGAGGAGGTGGAGGTCGGTCTATGTTGGCGGTCGTAAATAGAATTTACAAAATCACTTAGCAAAATAGCAAAGCAGTACACTAAGACAAAAATGGCTTAGTAAAAAGAAATTGAAAATAATTATTTTTGATTTAAAAAGATATAATGGTGCACATATTAAAATCTAAGTGGTTTGAAATGCTTTTATCTGGAAGATGGACAGTACCGGAAATAGTTTGATTAATTATAGTCAAAATTCAACAACTTCCCTGAAATTTAAACTGCCACAGAATGCCAAACCCAACCCTTTTTTTTGCATTAACTGGAAAGTAAAGTATAGTGTAAAAATTTCCTTGTAACTCACAAATTTTCTCTCAAGTTTAAAGCATACTTTTCGGCTAAATACAAAAATGGAGTATCTTAATTTTCCTTCACAGCAAATGTGTGTTTATCGCTCATCGCTGAACGTGAAACATAATTATCATAATGCAGAGGGACTTTTCTTTACCTAAAAACACCTCAAACCTCCTTAAAACTGTCGGCCCCTCTACTTGAGAAAGAGCTTTCCACCTACGTAAATTAGTTGCAGAAAAGACACTAATACGAGCATGAGGGGGAGATTGTTTTGAACACCTTTTCGTTCGTGGTGCGTAAACAACAAGAATGAAAAATGACAGATGCTTGGACGCACGGAGATGGGGTGTCGCTTCCGCTCCTGTGGTAGCCGTAAATCAATCGAGAATTTGGGTAGGGCTAAAGGGGTTCTTACGGGGCCAGTCGACAGTCGAGCCTCAGGCAGTCGAGTGCGAGGAGTTAACCAAAATGGATGTTCAGCTCATCTGACAAAATCTAACCTGTTGCCACTGTCAGAAGCAATTAGTGAGTGCGGCTACGTATACGTGCCACGAGGCGCCTCGATGTCAACAGGTTGCCCCTTACCATCCATCCCATTTTGGGCACCCTACAGCGCGTGGAAAGCCCTGTAAACATCTGTCGTGGTGTTTGTGCGGCCCTCTGTCTGTGTCGCTGTCTGTGTGTGGGCGTCGTGTTTGGCCTAGCATTAGGGCATGGCTTATTGCCAATTACATGGAAAATGTTTGCATACTTTCCTCACTCTCCACATTATTTCCCATTTTCTTTTTTTTTTTTGTATTTTGGTGTGTGTTTGTTCTAGGTTTTTTTTGGGTCTAATGTTAAGTGAAGGTCAGTTGGGCGGAAAACTGGATTTGCTCCCTGTCGGGTAAGCATGTTTGTACGAGGATGAAGCGTGCCACAGCCAGATACAATTTTGTGTTTTTGCAACATTTTTACTGGCAGTTGATTAGTGGTGACAGTCTGATGAGCAAGATTGCATTATGATAAAGGGATTATGTTTAAAGATACTTGGAAGCTAAAGTCCATCATTCGAAATATATATGGTTTGGCATGTCACTTTAAATATTTTCAGAGGTTGTGGATGGTTTGCTTTTTAAGAGCCATTGAAGATTATAATAGCTCCCAAATATATTATATATTAAATATAGTTTTCCCTAATCTACATATTTAATGACTGATATTGATCGAAAAGAAGTCATTCTTTCACCCATTATAGAAGAGTTTTTTCCGAATTTCCCTGTAAATTATTTAAAAGCCACAACTGTCGATAGTTAATAAGTATGTTCAAAGTCACGATGCCCATGTTGACCCTTATCCCTAAATAATTAAACAGCTCAAGGCGTGAATACAGACACTAAAGATGAAAAGAAATGACCTAAACACACACATACACACACGCATACGCACAAAGCCCCCAACAATCAGGCTACTTGGTCCTGCTTCCACAGAAACAAACATCCGCTAGCAACATAATCCCGCAACATATGTGCGGCCAGACAAAAAAACACGAGACCCCTGACTGTTCTCGAACTATTCTCGAGACTTTAGTAATGCTGTGTCGTTAAAAAGGACTTTTTTGATATACACGAGTATCCATATTTGTATCCTATAAGTTTTCATGATAAACTTATTGAGAAAAACCGATCAAAGCGAATTCCAAAAGGTGGGAATGATTTTGATTATAATTTCGGCACATATAGCTATAGCAAATAACTCACATAGTTCATCTGGAGCCCGAGCTAAGAGAAAGAATCGTTGATCTCTTCCATATCCGCAATAATACATGCCTTTGCCTGATGGCATTATGTTGCGCGCGCTTTCGCTGCTGCGTTTGTCTGGCAACATTTTTGTGGCTAACTGTTGCTGCTGCTTTTGTTATTGTTGCCTCATTCAACCGACGCCAGCGCAGCAGACGTGTCGTATACGTGTTAGTATAAAAACTTCATATCGTTTGTCGTCCCTGTTTCTCCTGCTGTTATCATTCGTGTTTCTTCGCGCACCCACAGTCGCTGATTCTGCCGGTGATTCTGCTGCGCCCGATTTTCGTGTGGTAGGCGTGTGCGTGTGTGTTCAAGTGTGTGCGTGCCCATGCACTTCCTTGTCCAAGGCATATTCAAAAGAAGGTGAAGTGATGTCCAGACTTAAACTGGTGATGCTGTAAAGCAGTAGTAAATCAAGGAGATCGGAACAGGAGAGATCGAGACTACCATACCATACCCTCTAACAATCATACCTTGGCCTTGGCGAACTATTTTCCATTTTACATTTGTCCACGCACAGTGGCCGCCAACACTTTATTGACGACGACGCCGTTGCCGCATCTGCAGGTGGTGTGGGTGGTGGTTGGGTGTTGGTGGTTGGAGGGTGAAGGGCGTTACAATGGCTGGAGCGCATCTGGCGGTTCTTCTACGTCGCAATAAACCCACTTCGATGGCATCGCAACACCGGACCCGATAGTGATTGGCCGGGCGGATTGGATGGATGTACGAGCACGGATATATAAAAGCATAATTGCTATGTGCCAGCGGCTTAATACGCATCGAGAACCTGAAGTGTCAACAATTCGGTGAAAACACTTAAAAGCAAACAATGATCCAATGATTAAATAATTCTGAGAAAAGAATCGGCATATAAAAGAGAATACCAGTAATTAAAATAACAATAATTATTAAAATAATTAATTTAAAAAAAGACACCATATAAATCTTAACGAAAAAAACACTAAACTATAAATAATACATTTAAACATTTAAGAATATAACTAAATAATTTCATCAGCTATAAAAATAAAATATAAAAACCATACGAAAATTGTGCCAAATATACTTGTAAATCGTATTTAATAACTACATTAAATATCTATAAATATTGATATGAAATAATCAAAAACCAAGGAGGAACCGTATTTTTTTGAAAAATATTTTGTGTGTGGATCAAACGGTGCGTATACTGAATTTTTATACAACTTCATATAATATCTAATTTATTATAATTATTAAATTGAATGTAAAAAAGATGTGTTTTTGAAATTAGCGCAAAACAACAAACATCGACTCAAAGTAAGAAACTTTCATAAACAAATAATAAATTAAAGCAAATGTTTGACTTTTGTTCTTGTTTCTAGTTTTGTGCGTTCTGTAAACAATTATTTCCATGGCAGTGGCATAGTGGCGGGTTTTTCGAGAGGGGTATTTCGCAACAATGTGCTTTTTAGTGCTATTAAGCCAAACTTAAATCAAAGTACAACCTATTGAACTTATCTTTCAACATTTATTATGTCAACCCCTCGTTGGGTTACACCCCTGTTTGATCTTTTTTGGCCTCTCCAGCGCAGCCTTGACTCGTGCCTCATCCATGGACCGACAAGAAACTCATAACTTTTAACCTCATGTTTTTTTCTACATACTCTTTTGATTTGTAAATCATTTTAATTAGCTTTGATTGCTTCATTCCGTTCCGTAGTTCCGCCTTCATAGATCTCTGTGCGAAAATGTTTGACTTTGAGAATACTTTTCGAAATACAACAAATTTCATTTCGATGTGCTTCTGCGTTTAGTTCTGTTTTTGATTTGTTTTGTTTGGTATGCTTTAAATTTGGCGGCAAGGTCGTTGCTTGTTTATTCGCAAAAGTGAAATGCAAATTATTCGTGCGGTTCTTCATTAATCGTCTGTCGTGCGATATAATCTATATTCTTCTGTCATTTGCCTGATGTCCGATATCTTCTATACAGAATTCGCTCCTCTTTACCCACGATACAGGAAAAGCATCTTCATGCTCTTAAGATCAAATAAACATAATGAGGGAAGCTTAACACCCTCGGCCACCTCCTACGAGTATAAGCCATCTAGCACCTTCATAAAGCAACTAGTTAATAGCACCCGATACTCGGGGCTGCGGTGGCTGTCGGCTTTTACTTTGTGGTGTTGGTTATAAAGCCACAAACAAAAGCGTTTTATTGCCATCCGACCGCAGACAGTAGCAAACGTTGACAAACGCAACAGCCACCAGGAAAAAATACGAGCAGGAGCGAAAGGTTTTTGTGGGTACAACTCGGAGATACCCTAGCATTACACCTGAGACAGAGTGAAGATGGTTAAATGGTTTATTAAATTATGAAAAATATAGATGAAGTGGAATGGAATTAGCATACATTTAAAGTGGTGCTTTTTGTTTTATATTAGAACAGATGGTGTTTCGGCTCTGTTTCCTTTTACTACCAACTCCTCCCAAAACCCAAACAAACCATTGTTTTAGGGTATCAAAAATAATTCATCGTTTCGACCAACTGACACAATGAGTGAGGCACAGCACTTTATGAGGCTGGGGATCGTAAAAGGCAGACACCAGAAGAGTAAGAGGATGTAGGACAACCTAATGGGTCCTTCAAAGATATTGATATTTTGCATCACAGCCTACGACAAGTGGCAAATGCGGTAGCGAGGAGTGTGGCAAAGGAATGTGTAAAGCAAAGAGAATTATATTCAATTTGAGTACACGGTCCAAGGCGGAAGGCACTTGCACGCACTTGGGGCACTTGGCACTCATAAATCCTATCGATATTTATGAGGGGAAACACATTTTGATTGAAATGAAATGAAAAGGGGCGAAATGAAAGCAGATAAAAGCCAACAGTATTTGATAATAATTATATATGTACAGTGGGTGCTCCCAAAATGGGAATTCAAGTAATTTTGACTATGAAAAAGTTCGTGATAGATAAAAAAAGCACAACTTTTTTTTGCGGCTTCTGTTTAACTTTGTATTATGAAATTTGATGTCAAAGTGAGTATCAAATTACAGGACAAAAACCAAGTTTGCTGAATTTTAAAGAATTTGTTTTTAGGCAGATTTTAGTTAAACGAACTAAAAAAAAAATAAAAAGCAAATTAACATAATTTAAAAAATGCATTTCCCGTAAGGTATATTTACAGCCTTTTGCTGTTGTCCTTCGTTTTTCTAGTTTATTTGTATTTTAAAAGTTTTGTCAATCTTGCTCTTGTTCTTCCAATATCATATATCAAACAGCTTAAAACTTTTTAAAGTTACCATACCCCTTTTTCCTAGTTAGAAAACCATAAGGCAAACCATTATTTACTTGCCTAAACCTCCTGGCTTTTCCCTGCCCATCCCCGACAAGTCTCATTTTGGTTTTGAAAAGGAGCCATGTTTATTTCGGTTAAACATCGCTGAGTCAACACAATAATACCACCGCGGACCCATCCATTTGAGCCAACTAAAATAACATTTATGACGCTCGACTCGTATTTGTATTTGGCTGACAATGTGACAATGCCAGTGTAAGACACGATGAAAGCAATTTCTTTATTTTTCATTACAAAAATATATATAGATTCATATATATGTATATATTTTTTTAAGACCCCATTCAAGGTGAGACTACAATTCGAGGGGGAAATGGAGAGCAGGTTGACCGCCAACTCCAACCATTTTTACGCATTTTCGATTTCATGGTCATAGCCATCAAACCGAAAGAGAAAAACCAATGGCAACAGTCGTGTCGTTGTTGTTAACACTCCTCGCACTGGCCCCACTGAAATACTCAGTACTGTAATACGGAATGACGAGCACAAAAAGGCGGGAAATGTGGAGCGGGGAAATTGGAGAATCGGGAGAGGGGAGAAAGAGATGTAGTGCCTGGAAAGGGGGCAATACAGAGAGTACCATGTAGCAGTAGTGGGGCAACTTCAATCATTAACATAAAAGAAGGCATAGTATTGAAAAGCCGAAGGTAAAGATACCTTAACAGATCCACTGTTCCGAGAGCAAATAATTTTAAATTTAAAACTGGTAAGGATTTACTAAGAAATTACAAATAATTGTTTGGGGAGCTGGAGCTTTTACTGTGTAAGATCCGAAAATTTCGGTTTTTTTTTCTCGCTCACTCGCTGTTCGAAAGACACATGGAAAGCATTGAAAAGGCATGAGTATAGCTGTGATTTTATGAATACTGTGGATACATGCAGGGCTATGTTTCTATTTTATGGAGTAACGTTTTTTGCCTCCTCAGCTTTACAAACATTCATACCTTCTGCCAGAGTAAGGGTACAACAACGAGTCACAGCAAGTGCCGCACTTCCCATGACCTTAGCCGAAAGTGGAATTGGTCGGCACCATGACAACCCACATTATGTCCCCACCGCCCCCTAATGCCCCAATACCCCCGTGCCGCCATCTCCATCTCAACCACTTGTTGTTTTTGGCTGGCGTTTTGATTTGTTTTCTATGGAATTTCAAGCAGCATAATCATCCTCATCAACATCCAGTGATGACAACCACAACTGACCCAACACGTGCCCATCTAGGGGGGACGGGCGCATGCACAATCGACTCATAGAGTGAGTAGAGGAGCAACGGTAACTTAATCTTCGTCTGGGTAGTGTCGGAGAGCTTTTTTGGGTATTGCGCAATAGAGCTACATACGAGTATGTTGATAAACATTGTAGGGTCATCAACCCGACAGGTTCTGGTCCTCCTTCTACTTCTTTGCTGCGAGTCCAGACTTGCTTCTACTCCTCTTTCCTTACTGAGTACTGGTCCTGGACCTACTCTTTCCCATCTGAGAATACTGGTCCTTCGCCTCCTCTCTCGTTGGAGTCTGTTGGAGCGTGTATGGTTTTTTGCTTTTCAATGCCTATGCCAAGGTCCGGTCGATGTCCTGATGAGTAGCACAAACAAGAGTCCTGTTATTACCTCACATAAGGGGTACTCTCACTTATCCTGAATCAGAATGGATATTTGGGGTGGAGCTCGAGATGAAAGATAAGCAGTTAATCAGCGAATGAGAAAATATTTGTGTGGCTTAGTGGGTGGAACTTGTTGCATAAATCTGGTGTGGGGTTTAATTTTCGGGGCACATGGCACACGCCTTGATGGCTTCAAGGGAAACTGGTTGAAGCTTTGATGGCTTTTTGCGGTTTTTGGTGTTTAAATGGTTCGGCGGCTTCTCAAGAAGATTTTTTGTAATGAGTTCATAAAATAATAATTTTTAAAATAGGTTTCTATGTTTCTATTATAATATAACAACAGTATAACACAATTTACCTTTTTACCGAGAATATAGTTGTATTTTTCTGCCACATCTGTCTATCTTCTCACAACAACCCCAGCCGTTACATTTTGTTCCCCTCCGCCAGGGAGCGGTTCTTTGGCTACAAAGTTAAAGTTAAAGATTTTATTTGTATATCATTAAAAAGTACACTTTTTAGGTTGTTAATTTCAAATGAAAATAAGTTAATTTTCATTAAAAAGACTCGCATTTCGAACGGAACAAAAAATACCCGCACCTTTTTTTGGGTACCCTTGGGTACCTAACTCAATCCACTCTTGTGTTCAGGTGATGCACTTATTCTATTCTTGTCAGATCAAATATATAAAATTAGGCCTCCCCATTGAGTATTCACTTGTAGCTTCACAGAATTATATTTCTCTCGTATTTCGTCAAAGCAGACCTTTGAAATCGTTTCCATTTCATTTCATTTTAGAGCTCGATTTTTGAGCCGTGATGTAACAGTCAACGCGAATACCCCTAACCATTTTTTTCTGGCCCTTAGAATGCTTCTCAGAACTCATTAATGTGCGCCCGAGCTGGCTCTTACACCTTGCCTGCTTGCACCACGCTCTCCCCCATGCCCGAAAACAAGAATGTTGTACAAAATATTCTGCGCAATAAAAAAATAATAAAGGGAAAACAGAAAGAGAGAGAGGGAACACAGCCATGGAAGGAGAGGGAAAACAATTCAATTTAGTGTGGCACACTTTTTGGGATACGGGCGTGTGAAAACCAAGGCATGGCCGATGGATGATTAGCGGCTGAGGGTAAGGGCATTGCTCCAAAAGAGACAGAGCAGTGCTCAATCGTTCGTTATAATTAAATACAAATTAGCAACAAAAGTTTGCTGCTTTCGGGGGATTAAAGTCGTCGTCTGGCTACAGCAAAACTTTACGGATGAGACTTAAAGTCCTCCCAAAAACCACTTGATGCTCCGCATTACATATACGCCAGGTTATGCGGAAATCGTGGGCCACTCAATGACTCAATGACTGGCGGCAGCTGGCGCACAAGACCCAGCCATAGATTGCGCTGGAGGACTTGGTAGATCCAGGAGCTGGAGCTCCAGGGATGAGGCCAATGGAGAACAACAGCCCGAGTCCGGGAAAACGCTTCATTAGGCACGCACAGTGCTGTCATGGCCCGCTCAAGTGTTTGAGTTTCAAATCCAACTAATTAAAATCTACGCAGCAAAACTTTGAGCGCAATAAGCAATGGGGCACACGGCTGCAGAGAGCTGTTCATGGCTACGTAGTATGTAAGTCTCACAGAGCCAGAGGTAAGTGAGGACTGATGTCTGATAGATTTGTTTCACTTTGGCTCGACTGAAGTGTACAGTGCGCTCCGCCGACCTATAGGTGTTTTTACTGAAAATTAAACCTTTCTGTAACGATTGGCAATCGCCTTGCAGGCTCATGAGTTCTACAACGCCGTGATTCTCAAGTGTGAATCCTTGCCTTGAAGTGCAAATTTTTGAATGTTCTTTGCGAGAGACAAAAATTAGGTTGTAGGCCTGGATGAGTTCTTGGAATTTAAACATATACCCCAGTATATTTATATGGATTTATTATTAGTTTTATTTAGTTAGGAATTTATAGGGGAATTAACCTAGTACTAGTAGTAGGTCTAAGAAGTGGCCTTAATTATCTACAAAATAAGCTAATAATCAAAATAAAATAAGTTTAAGTCGTGTTTGCCAGCCTTAACGTTCTGTGACGCACTGTAGTTACCACCTAATTGAGCTAACATATCGTTGGCACGTGTCGTTGAACTTTTTTGAGACCTTCTTCCTCCATTTCCTGTCCACATACACACCCACAATCACAGATACAAAAGTCCTCGCACACAAAGCCACACCTCACCAAGCCACCGTGAGTCTGTCCTACTCTAAGGACGCGACAATACTCGCACTTGGAGATGGAACCCAAGGACACAAATGAGCAAGTGACATTTTGTGCCAAGTGATAATTGATATTTTATTGTTTGCCATTTTGTTCGAGTGGTTTTTCTTCTTTCGTTTTTTGAAGTGTTTTGACATCCCTCGCTAATCGGCTTGCGGGGCGTGGCCATGATAATAATAATGGCCATGACAATGACGCGCTGTGCACTGTGTGGGGTGGTGGGGCTTGTCCCTGGAACAGGGAATGCGATTGGGACCCAGACATATGTATAGACTGAGGGATAACGCAAAAAGTGTCCAATAAATGTTTCATAGTTGTCGGTGGCTTGTTGCCGCTGACATTGTTGACCTTCTCAAAAGCACAAACAGACTTCCACTTTCCACCCCATGGCAGACCTTATATGAATGTACACTCTGTACATATGTATAATATATCTAAAAGTATATCCATGGGTGGCCATAAAAAACATACACAGTGAACCTTTTGTTGGGTGTTCGCTTCTTATGTTAAAGTTTTTGTCTTGGAGCTCAAAAATATGCAATAATGCCGGGGCCGTTCAGTGAGGGAGCTGGGGCCAAAATAAGAATGCGACCTGGTCTAGTCCTATTCCAGGAATAAAGGACTACAGGGAGAGACACACTGGACTACAGGGATACAGGGCAAACAGTAGGGCTTTGATGTGGGTTAGGAGGCCCAGGAATCTATGCATACAAAGGTTATGTCAGTCATTTGGGGCAGACATATTGTCTCAGCCATGGGAAAGCCGCCACCGCCACCCAATTACACGCAAAACAAAGCATCACTTATACTCCCAGGATACCCAGGATCCGTGCCGTAGAAGGCTGTATTGGTTTTGTGGAACAACCATCTCCTAAATAATGCATAGTTCTAAGCATAGGAGGTATCCTTTAGTCGTTATACTTCTAATGCTCCTACTAAAGTTCAACCACTTATTATTTTCCTTAGCAGACTTCGGATTTCTCCTACTTGGCTGCCATGAATGCCACTTCGCCAAAGTCATCGTTGGTCAAGCTCGGCCTCCACACCAACAAACAAAAGACGCTCAAGGTGATGGTGCTCGGCCAGAGCGGTGTGGGCAAGACGGGTAGGTTTCCTTTTGACATTTCGAAATTAGAAACCTTAAATACGTTAATCTGCATTACCATAGCCATGGTGGTACGCTTTATCACACGCCGTTTTATTGGGGAATATGACCCGAATCTGGAGAAGATATATACGTGCCAAACAACACTGGACAAAGAGCAGGTGCAGTTCGATATACTAGATGCCACAGGGCAGTTACAGGTGAGTCTTTAATTTCGAATTATGGGACTACTGATTATTACATCTGGGGTTCCTTCCTTTAGGAACTGGATGGTGTTACTTTGGAGTCGAATATACGCTGGGCGGATGCCTTTATACTCATGTATTCCATAACGGACAAGTGTTCCTTTGATGAATGCAGTCGTTTGAAGTTCCTCATTAACTATAACAAGCGAAGACGTAAGCTGGGATCGGCTAGTAAAGTGAGTAACAGTTGCAAGGGCCGCGGCTCTACTTTAATACCCTAATCTCCAACTCTCCGTCTTTCGTTCTCTCCTCTCGATTTAGGAGTACACTTTGGATATACCGGTAATATTGGTAGGCAACAAGACAGATCAACCCGGAGATCGCATGGTAAGCCTAGAAGAAGGGCAGCGTCGCTTTAGAGAGCTCTCCTGCGCTTGTTTCCATGAGATATCCGTCAGAGAAAGTGTGGATCAGGTAATATCAAGGGAGAAACACCAGTAGGAGAAAGATAAATCCAAATAATTTTTTCGACTTTGCAGGTCCTCAATGTGTTTCGTGATGTGTTTCGCTTTTGGCGTGTTTTCACCAAATTTCCCAAGCTCAAACGTTCCACCAGCGATGTGGCGAATGCGGCCGATGGCATTCTGACACCTGATTCCGGATCCTGTTCCTTTTACGATGCCTCGTCGCTGGGCGCCGGCCGGCGTTCCTTCCTGGTCATTGGCAGTGCCTGCCTGGAGGAGAGCAGTGGAGGCGATCATACAGAGTCCACAGATGAGATTGCGAGCAGCAGTTTGAGCAGCTCACGAAGCGACATTGATGCCCCATTCCGGAGTCGAGCCTCGACAGATGGCACCCTGTTGTCTCGGCCTAGGAGATGGCGGTATCCACCGCCGGGGTGTCTGCTGCCGCACACAAATCGCGTCGAGCGACGCATGAGCATTTCCACAAGGGGCAGTAATGCCAGCTATTGAATGGCTTGAATCGCTAGGGCGGGGGACTTGAATGCAGGGGGTAGAGTGAATAGTTAGTCGAAATGTAGCGCCAAATATATACTATAGATAGATGTTATAATGGGAATAGATGCGTTTATTTATGGGATACCAAAGGAGAGACGATGCTATAGGCATGTAGAGGAAGGATCCAAGTGATATATAGCTTTTATCAACGTAATATATTAATTTTAACAGCAAAATAGATAAAACAACCAACTGAGACCAGCTCCTAGTCATCATCAATCTTAAGCAAATACTCTTCGGCACGCAAAGCCAACTCGCGGATGTTCCGCAGGCAACCAGCGGCAGCCAATTGCAGCTCCTTGTTGGTGGAACCAATGCACTCCAACAAAAACGGAACCACTCCACTCTGAAAGAAAAAAAGGATGCGAAACCGATGAGATTCAGAAAAGGGAATTAAAGGAAGGGCAAAGAGGCTTCCTACTTGGTGCATGGTGATGCAGTTCTGGGGATCCATCGATAGTTTCTCTAGGGCCATAGCTGTGCTGCGATGCACCATGGGATTGTCGCTGGTCATGTAGGTGACAATGGGCGTGACGGTGCGCAGGCGTCCCAGCTCCTCGGTGTTGTTGCCGAAGCAGGCACAGGCGGCCACAGCGGCAGCCAGATTCATGCGCAGCAGATCATCCGTGGTGTTGACTAGATCCGCCAACTTATAGATAACCCGAAGATCGGTGAGTATGGCCAGATTGGTCTGGTCCTGGGCAATCGTTGCAATGGCCGCACACACCGCTGATAGCACCATAATATCACGAGACTTGAGGAGGCCCACCACCAGCTCCATGGCCCCCACGAGACTGCGCACCAGTTCGGCAGAATCATTGGCATTGCTCACACACGGACAGATGGCATAGGCGGCATGGGCCTGCACTCGAGGACTGGTGTTTTTCAGCAAGGACCAGATCAAGCGCACGGCATCTAGCTCTTCGAGAATGCGCATGCTATCCGAATCTTCGGCGCACTCTTTCAGGGCTTTGGCCAGATTCTCCAGCAGCGGGGCATGGGAGGAGTTGAGCAGTGCCACCATTAGAGGCAAGCCACCTGCCTGACGCAGTGTCTCCCGGTTGCTCTGGAAGCGTACGCACTCGGACAGCGCGCCGGTGACATTGGTCAACACCTCATCATCCTCATCGTTTAGCAGAGCCACTAGGTGATTCACTGCACGCATGTTATCGAGCTGCTTGACATTCACATCGGAAATGGCGCACATCCAGATGGCTCCAGTTGCGCCACGCAGCAACGGCTTGTTCTCCCTCACCGTCTTGTCCTTGATGATGGTCACGAGGGGCTCCAGTCCTCCGGCTTCGCGCACCAGATCCCTGGTGGTCTCGTCAAAGGCGCACTTGTAAATGGCCGTGCTGCCCTCCATCTTGAGATCTATGCACTCGGCACTCAAATGCGTCACTATATCGGCTATCATGCCCTCTGTGGTGATGGCCAATTGGAACTTGGGCTCCGAGGAGCATTTCTGCACTGTACCCATAATGGGGATAACGACATCGATGTGGCAGGACTTGAGGAGGCGTGCCATTAAAGGAACTATACCACTTTTGCGCATCTGCTCCATGTTGTGCTTGGAATCGGCTAGGGTCCATAGAGCACGAGCTCCAGCCCGTGCCATATTCAGATATTCCAGGTCTTCGGCATTGAGTTGATCTCGAGGGGTTTGCAGGATGCTGCGTAGATTAAAGGTTCCTCAAGAAGGTCTCTCTTCTTAGTTCTATCTGTACTTACCTTAGTTTTATATCTATAAGATCGACCAACTTTGGGATTCCGCCACAAGTGCGCACGTATTTACGTGCCAAACGAACCTTGCTCACATGTGCCAAAGTTTCAGCAGCCATGGTCTTGAGGTCCTTCATCGAAGAGTTCAATATATCCACTATCAAGGGTATGCCATCCAGATCCACAATGGTCTTGCGTATGTCTATATTGAGAGTAATCTCTGAGAGAACCGTGAGGGCACCCAGAGCGCACTTTGTATCGCTGCACTCCAGAATGTTGACAAGGACCTCGAGACCACCAATGTCCTGGATGGCGAACTGATTGATTTGCGTGCTCAGGTCGTAGTCTTTGAGGCAGCACAGTGATACTATGGTGGCCGTCTGATTGCCCGCCTTGATGTATTTGACGAGCTTCTGGATGTTGTAGTAATCGGCGGGTATTTCAGCCGCTCGCGCCACTTCTTTCCAGCGATCCTCCTCGTCCGTAGATGATTCCACCTCGGTGGTGTCGGAATCCTCGGCTACTATTTGACGCTTGTCCTTGGAGAAGCGATTCGGACAGGAGCCGCATTGTTCGCGGATCTTCCGCTGACGCGTCGTACTGCTGGAACCAGTGCCAATCATTATTTATATTTTTGTATGGGAATTTTTTCGTTTTTTCGGCTGTTTTGTGTATAGGAATTTCTATTTTGAAATCATTGATCAAATACGATGTGTTACTAAGGCAACCAAATACAAATTTGAATATGCCTCCGATTGTAGTTCACTTATCGATTAAAAATTCTGTATTTGCCAACACTTCAGTCAGTATATTTACTGTATATTTTTAAAATGAAACGGTATATTTTGGTATATTTCTGAGGGCCAGACCTTATATCTTATGGAAAAATCCACGGTCACACTGGCAGCCTCGCGTTAAAAAAGTTATTGAAAAAAAAAACAAATCCTTGTTTACAATAAAAGCAAGGACTAAAAACTGGCCAGTTAAGTAGAAAATTGATTCATTAATCGTATACAATTATGTGGGCATAGATAAAGGCCCGGTTGACAACATTTAAGTCCTTGTCGCTCACATTCAAAAAAGTTCGATTTGGCGCGCACCACTCGGTATATTTTTCAAGTGAGACCGTATATACTGTAGAAACTGGTTTTCGCCGCGCTCCCATGTGGTGTTTTTTAGTGCTAAATGGTATTTTTGTCATCTATTAATTTCATTTTCAATTTTATATAAAAACCCAATAAATGCAAGTTTTTTGAATAGGCCAATCAAATATAGAATTGATTCATCAATCGTGCAAAATTGAGTGGGCATGGCTAAATATTCCATATAGATAGTATTATTCAACGGAACAAAGAATATGAGAAAATTTGAATTCGCCGCAAGTCTCATTCCATGCACAAATGTTGCTAATTCCATGCACACATACCCTGGGGCAAATGGATGTTATAGAATTGTGAATACGTTTGTCTTCCAAGGCTCAGGATCGAGATAAATATATACAAGATACTAATAAGCCACATGAATAAGTTAAAAACATATCAATTTGAGAAAAGGTGTTAATAAATTACGTTTGATCTTCATATAAAATTAGCGAAATAGGGTGTACAAAGGCTATACACGCATCACGTCTTCAAATACCAGCAACATTGCGACTCTTTTTTGGTTGGACTTTTTCGTTTAACCCTGTTTACAATAAATACAATAAAAGCAAGGATTAAAAACTATCCAATCTTGTAGAAAATTGATTCAGCAATCGTATAAAATTATGTTCTATATAGCTGGCAATATTCAACGGAAGAAAGAAAACGAGGAATATGTAAAATAGACTTGAATTGGTCAGTATATTGACGGTATATTTTTAAAATGAAACGGTATATTTTGGTATATTTCTGAGGGTCAGACCGTATATCTTATCGAAAAATCCGCGGTCACACTGGTAGCCTCGCGTTAAAAAAGTTATTGAAAAAAAAAAACAAAGTTGTTTACTGGGAAAAATGAAGATAAAACTAATTGATTCAGTTGTGCGGAGCTTCAAGGTGGCGAAAATCTTCCGCGAGAATACCGACAAGATCAATGCAATCGACTTTGCACCAAACGGGGAGCATTTGATTTCCTGCAGCGAGGACGACCAAATTGTTATCTACGACTGTGAAAAGGGAACACAATCCCGCACAGTGAACTCGAAGAAGTACGGCGTGGATTTGATACACTTCACACATGCCAACAACACGGCCATACACAGTTCCACCAAAGTGGACGACACCATCAGATATCTGAGTCTGCACGACAACAAATATCTGCGTTACTTTCCCGGCCACACCAAAAAGGTAATCTCGCTGTGCATTTCACCAGTGGAGGACTCCTTCCTATCAGGCTCATTGGACAAGACACTGAGGCTGTGGGACCTACGCTCACCAAACTGTCAGGGTCTAATGCACCTATCCGGACGCCCCATTGCCGCCTACGACCCAGAGGGACTGATCTTTGCAGCCGGTGTCAATTCGGAGAGCATCAAATTATACGACCTGCGGTCCTTCGACAAGGGTCCCTTTATCACCTTCAAACTGAACCAGGAGAAGGAGTGCGATTGGACTGGCCTGAAGTTCTCCCGGGATGGAAAAACTATATTGATCAGCACTAACGGTTCGGTTATACGTCTGGTGGACGCCTTCCATGGCACACCACTGCAGACATTCACCGGCTATCCGAATAACAAAGGGCTGGCCATCGAGGCCAGCTTCAGTCCGGACTCGCAGTTCATATTCTCGGGCAGCACCGACGGCCGTGTTCATATCTGGAATGCCGACACTGGCAATAAAATATCCGTGCTTAATGGCGATCATCCCGGCCCTGTGCAATGCATTCAGTTCAATCCGAAATACATGATGTTGGCCTCTGCATGCACAAATATGGCCTTTTGGCTACCCACATCAGAGGAGGGCCCGTAAATAATGGAAGCCCATCATTTGTCTTACATTTTAGAATAAAATAAATTTACTTTTACAATAAAAATAAAATCTGGAAACTTACAGCCATTCTTTCTCTCTAGCGGGTAGATCTTTCCTGCGCTTTGTGTCTGTCGAAGCCCAAGCGAATGCTGCTTAGCAGTTGGCCGAGATTTTGACCCATTTTGGCACTAATCCCGAGCACAGGATTCTGCAGCCTTCGCTGCAGTTCCTCAAAGTTGGCGGCGCTGTCTTCCATGTCGATTTTATTTGCCACCACCAACTGCGGCCGACTCGCCAAGCTGCCGCCGAACTGTCGGAGCTCATGCATAAGCTGTTCGTAGTGGGTCCATGGCTCGGGTGCACTGGCGTCCAGCACAAAAAGCAGTAATGTGCAACGCTCCGCGTGCTTGAGGAACTGTATGCCCAGGCCCTTGTTGAGATGTGCATCGGGCACGAGTCCTGGCAGATCGGCAATCGTGATCTGCACAAGATCATCATACTGGACGGTTCCCAGGTGGGGGCGTAGCGTGGTGAAGGCATATGGAGCGACCTTTGGCTTGGCACGGGTTAGGGCATTCAACAAGGTGCTTTTACCTGCATTTGGATAGCCAATTAAGCCTACATCGGCCATGCTGCGCAGCTCTATGGTGTAGGAAATATCCTCGCCAGTTGGTCCATATTCGCAGACCTTGGGACTGGTCTCCTTGTCGGTGGTAAAGAAGCGGTTGCCCTTGCCGCCAGCTCCACCGCGCGCGGCCACGAACATCAAGTCCGCGTGCCCCAGATCTCCGACAATCAGACCCTGAGCGTTCCTGATGATCGTGCCAATTGGTACTTTGATCACGGCATGCTTGGCATTCTTGCCATGGCAGTCCTTGGCGTTTCCCCGCTCCCCCTCCTCGGCACGCAGCACGCTGCCTACGTGATTGAAGTTGCGCACATCGTTGGAGGCCTGGAAAACCACATGGCCCCCGTTGCCGCCATCCCCGCCGTCCGGTCCGGCCCGCTCGTTGCACCACAGCTGCAGAAAGGAGACGCATCCATCGCCACCCTTCCCGCCGACAGCCCGCACCCGCTTGGCATCCGAAAAGTATTGCGCCTGAGAGTGGAAGGAAAGAGTTATGTAAATTCCTCATTGACTGGTCACTCGGACCTCTTTGCGTGTGGACTTTGGCTTCTTCGGCCGCAGCGCAGTCGTTGCTTTGCAGTAGTTCACTCGGGGGCCCCCTTTTGTAGCCACATTCTTAGATATTTCCACAAATGCCCGCGCCAGGACCGATCTGCCGGTGAAGAACAACATTATTGAAAGTACCGGTTGAGATGAACAGCTGATGCAGCAGCACGCCGATACTTCACGTAATCAGTGTCGATAGTATCGCTGCCTTAATATATGTTATTAAATGTTTTTGAGTGGTCGTGGGATAGGACAATTGAGAAGGATGTCCATTAAAGCCGCGCTCATAGATCTCAGCGGCACCCTGCATGTGGAGGATGAGCCAACCCCAAATGCAGTTGAGGCATTGGCCAGGTAAACCATATCGAAACATGTTTAACTGTATGTATAGTGTGTTCGTATCATTATCCCATATACAGATTGCGCGATGCTGGAGTGACTGTTAAATTCGTAACAAATACCACCAAGGACTCTAAGGGGACTTTGCACGAACGTCTCTGTAGGATCGGCTTTGAGTTGGACCGCTCGGAGATCTACAGTTCCCTAAGCGCCGCTGTCGCTTTTGTGCACAATGGAAAACTAAATCCATACTATCTCTTGTCGGAAGATGCACGCCAGGACTTTCCGCCAGAGGATCCCAATCGGTGCCAGGACTCGGTGGTAGTTGGTCTAGCCCCCAAGGCATTCAACTATGAGCAAATGAACAAGGCTTTTAAGTAGGGAACAGCGTCCGAGGGAGGGGTTCTTGTAAGGTTTATTATTAATGTGCCTCTGCATCTCCGCCGCAGTGTTCTGCTGCAGAATAAGGAGCACAAACTGGTGGCCATACATCAGGGGAAATACTACAAACGATCAGATGGCCTGGCCCTGGGACCTGGCTGCTTTGTCAAGGGTCTGGAGTATGCAGCAGGATGCACCGCAGAACTGATTGGCAAACCGAATCCATACTTCTTCAAGGGGGCTTTGGATGGCCTTGACCCATCGTCGTGCGTGATGATAGGTGATGTAGGCATAAACCACATTTAAAATCGTGCAGTCTTGCTTTAAATTCTGTTTGTAGGACGCCAATGATGATATTGGCGGAGCAATGGCCATGGGTCTCCAGGGTATACTCGTTAAGACTGGTAAATATTTACCAGATGTCGTCCTGTCGCCGCCGCCCACAGCTTTGGTAGAGAATTTCGCCGATGCAGTCGATTGGATACTCAAGAAAAATCAAGCTTAAAACCAATTAAAACTCTATCGCTTATAGTAAGTGTATACAAATGCTGCTTTAGTTTTATAAATAAGCCATCAAATTCGTTTGAAATGCTGTTTGGAACAGATCAAAGCATTATGCAAAAAAGGTTTTTATCAAATTTCTGAGTAATTATAGGACTTTCGATTTTTGTGGATCTCTGGAGATCTGTGTGTTTTAGGCCAACTTTGACTGTGCAAACTTGGTGGCCAACTGAATGATCTCCTCGACGCGGTCGTAATTGCTGCCCGAAGCTTGGGCAGATTCTGGCTTACCACCACCCTTGCCGCCGAGAGTCGGGGAGACATGCTGGACCCACTCGTTTGCCTTCAGGCCCTTCTCCACAGCACTCTTGGGCACCGAGCTCAGGCAGAAAATCTTCTTAGAGTCGGCATCCACGGAGAAGAACATAGCGGCAGCATCGGGCAGCTGGGTGCGCACCTGTTTGAGCGCGGCATCGAGTGCCTTGGTGTTGTTAAAGGCCTCCAGCTGCTGGACGAGCACGTTGGCCCCGGGATTGGCCTCGCACAGTTCCTTGGCGCGCTCCACCACATTCACAGAGACGGCTGCCCGCAGGGAGCGCTCCTTGTCGTCGAGCGTCTTCTTCAGACCCTTCAACAAATTGCGCATCTCATCCTTTTTCACATAGGGAACCGTGGCGTGGGATATCTGTTCTGTGAGCTCGACAATCTCCTTGACATGCGACTTTGAATCCTTGCCCGATTTGTCCGCATCGATGGTGGCCTTCAGCTTCACAATCTCCTGCTCAAAGGCTTCCGATTTCTTGATGGCCTTCAGGGCTTCTGGCCCGGTCAAGGCAACAATACGGCGGATGCCCTTAGCTATGGCCTCCTCGCTGCTGATCACAAAATCCATGATATGACCCGAACGTCGGAGATGAGTGCCGCCGCAGAACTCCACCGAGGTCTGCTCTCCGGCCTCGGCATCGGGATTCTGCTCCAGCTCGTCCACAGGCACGCCAAACGAAATTACGCGCACTGGATCGGGGTAAACCTCGTCGAAGACCGAACGCAGGCCGCGTATACGCTTAGCCAGAGCTAGCTTCGACTCCTTGGCGTAGATGGGGACATTCTTGTAGACCATATCCTTCGTTAGCTGCTCCGTTTTGGCCACCTGTTCGATGGTCATAGCGGCTTTGGTGTTGAAATCGAAGCGCAGCTTCTCTGGCACCACCAGCGAGCCCTTCTGTTCGGTGTCCTTACCGAGGACCTGCAGCAGGCAGTGATTGAGGGCATGCGTAGCCGAATGATTCTTCATGGTGAGCCAACGACGCTCCTCGTCGATGTGCAGCTGGAGTTCATCACCGACTTTCAAGGTGCCCTCGACAACGCCAATGTGCAGGATATAGCCACCACGATTGTAGACACGATCCACCAGGAACTCATTCGCCTCGTCGTTCAGCTTGACAAGCGCACCCTGATCAAAGATCTGGCCACCGCTCTCGGCATAGAAGTTGGTTTTGTCCAGGACAATGCCCGCCTTTTGGCCATTGCTGATCTCGTTTACGAACTGATTCTCGAAGCGAAGGGCAACGATTTTACTTGTGCATTCCTGATAGTTGTAGGCAGAGTCCCGCTCCTCCGACACGGCCTCGTATTTGTATTTGAATGAATCGTTGGTGGGTGGCACGCCCTGCTCCTGCAGCTGGGAAATGGCATGCACATCCAGATTGATCTCCTCAATTTTGCTGGCACCCTTGCCCTGCGAGAGCACATAGGAGTTCTGTTTGGCCGCCTCATAGCCGGCCATGTCGATTTCCAGCGACTTCTCCTCGGCCATCAGTTGGGTGAGATCCACGGGAAAGCCATACGTGTCGTAGAGTCGCCACGCAACGTCTCCGGGTATGATGGACTGGCTGCCCAATTTCTCGATGGTTCGATTGAGTAGATTGCGGCCACGCGTCAACGTTTTCAGGAACTGCAACTCCTCCTCATTGATGATGTCAATGATGTGCTGTGGGTCCTTCTTGACCTCCGGGAAGGCATCCCCCAGAAGATCGACAACGGTGTTTACTAGCGTACCAAAGAAACCAGGCTTGGCATTCAGTTTTTCCGTGGCATAGCTGATGGAAAAGATAAGTTCTTAAACGTTCTATATTCTCCCATATTCCTCTTTGATTACTCACCGAACAGCACGTCTAAGGATGCGGCGCAGCACATAGCCACGACCAGTGTTATCCGGAGTACCGCCATCAGCCAGAGCAATGGTGATGGTACGGGCATGATCGGCCAGGACGCGGTAGGCCATGTCAATGCCATCGACATCATCGGCACCCACGCGACCCTGGTAGGCTGGGGCACCAGTGCCGGCCTGGATGGCCTCGAAGAGTGGGACAAACAGATCTGTATCGTAGTTGGAACGCTTATTTTGGATAACCGAGACCAGGCGCTCGAATCCCATGCCGCAGTCGATGTGCTTTTTGGGCAGCTGCTTGAGGCTGCCATCCGATTCGCGGTTGTATTGGATGAACACAAGATTCCAGATCTCCAGGACATCGGGATCGTCCATGTTGACCAGCTCCGGCACGCTGCGGCCACCGATGCGGTCAAAGTGCAGCTCAGAGCAGGGTCCACAGGGACCGGTCTCGCCCATCTCCCAGAAATTGTCCTTCATGCTGCCCGGTAAAATGTGCTCCGGCTTCAGTCCCAGATCCAGCCACAATTGCTTGCACTCCAGATCGGGTTCCAGGCCGCTGGCCTCGTCGCCGCCAAAGTACGTCACATACAGGCGATCCTTGGGCAGATGAAGGCGATTTGTAAGGAACTCCCAGGCCCAGGTACAGATCTCCTTCTTGAAGTAGTCACCGAATGACCAATTTCCCAACATCTCAAAGAACGTATGATGGTAGACATCTTTGCCGACATCGTCCAGATCGTTGTGTTTGCCACCGGCACGGATGCACTTTTGCGTGTTGCACACACGCACCCACTTGGACATCTCGCTGTTGGGATCGGCGGTGCCCAGGAAGATGGGCTTGAACTGATTCATGCCAGCGTTGGCAAACAGCAGCGTTGGATCGTCCAGCGGAATGGTGCTGGATGAGTGGACATAAATGTGCTTCTGCTCCTTGAAGAAGCCCAGATAGGCGTCGCGCACCTCCTTGGCAGTCAAGAACTTCATTTTGTTGGGTGCTGCTGCAACGACAGGAGTTGGCGGTTGTGAATGCAAAAATAATGGTTGCCACGCGACAATGGGCTCAGACTGTGTGAGCGCAGCGCTCTCCTAACCCCACAGAGAGGGCGAAAACCCCGTCAGTGAAAGTCCACTGCTCTACGTGATGAAATTACACAACTACTATGCTATTTAACAGGAGAATATCAATCAGTTGTTTGACCTCTTACTGCGGGCCTCACCAGCAGAGCTCTTCGACCAAAACAAGTTAGTTATTACTCACGTTTTCAAAAAATGCAATGCAAACAAATTTCGTCAGACTGCAGCAACGTGCAGATGGTCAGACTCTCAGGAATATACCGAAATATACCGTCTAATTTTAAAAACATACCGATGGAATACCGTCACCCACTTAACCCATTGAGGGTCAATGGCCATCTACAAGAAGCAGCAGTTGTTTTATACAGTTTCGGACGTACTTTGTGCAATAGAAAACTACCACAAACTTAGTCTAATGAAAATTAAAACTGATATTTGAATGCACCGAATATGCAATTATATTTTTATGTGGAAAAACTTAAACTGGAGTAGCGAGCTTTTCAAGAGTGGCGGCCCGTAATGGGTTAATGAACTGCGCTTAAAAGTCGATTCGCTGTGGCATGTGGTCCTGTTCCAGCTGATATTCAATCTCCTTCATACGCAGCATCACACTGAAGTTCTGCTTTTCCTGCTTGTATGTCAAATACATGGCCAGGAAAGCCTGGAAGGCTATAATAGCGGTCAGTGAAGGTACAATGGGACGCGTAAACTGTCGCCACAGCATGAACACTTCTTTGGGGCTCTCCGTAATCGAAGGTAGCCGGTATGTGTAACAACGGGTGGCAAACATAAATGCTGCAAAGGGCGCCAGTATCGTTGGATAAACGATTCCCAGGCTGGCTTGGAACGCTGCACTCCGTACTTGTCTGCAAATCGGACACTCGCCCAGCGGATCCAGTAGTATGGGTCGCTGTATGAAGAACTTGTGCGTGAGCATGGTGAATATGGCGGGTACAACAACAATTGGCATATAACTGGACAGCCGTCCATGGCTGCCGAGCCGAAGTTTGGTCCGGTAGTGATTATTGATATAGGCGCCCGTTGCAGCAGCCATAGCACTTAGAATCCCAGGCGCATAGCGCAGAGACCATCTGTAAAGAAGGGTTTTGTTTAGCTGTTAGGTAAGCGGTAACATGTGTGGTTCATACGTACACCTCTCCAAACTTGTCCCAGGCTGTTATTATCTTCCATTGGTACTTTAAAGCTTGATCTTCGGAGATCATAACAGCATCTTTTGGCAGTTGCTCGGGCTTGGCACGAGACAGTGCCATTTTATTTTAATAAATAAAAATAAATTAGCGACGTATAAGAGCTGTTGCAGAAGGTTTTGTCAGTGCTGTAAAGCATAGAAACCGGTGTCGTTAGTGTTGTAAAATCTGTAAATCTTTGGACCTTTGGAAAAGTAGTTTTACTTCTTGTTTTAAAAATGCCTCGAAATCAAAAATCTCGAGTTACTCCAAATCCAAAAAACCCAGTGGCTGCTCGCGCCGAGGCAGCCGACCGTCCACACGCTGCCGTTGGGTCAAACAATGTGTTGGCTACTCCTACTTTAAATTCTTCTGTGCGCCCGCAGGACGAAATAATACGAATCACAAAAGATATTTTGTGTGCCATTGATGAATTGGAGCTCACGCCGCAGAGTCAGGCTGCACTGGCTCCAAAGGTGAGTATCATAAAACAGTATCAATAGCAACGTAGTAAATGGTCAAAATTCTCAAAGGTTACCCAAAAGATGAACTTTCTACCACACCAAGCAGTGTTCAAGGGTTTGGTTCCTTTAAATGTCAACGACTCGATACTGCCGCCCAAGAAGATAGCACGCAAGCCGTCAAAGGAGAATAGAGCAAAGACAGCAGAGCCGGAACTTGAGGACTACGTGCAGCCAATAGCGCCCAAACAATTGAATATACCCGACCCCGAGCTTCATTTGGAGTTTAAACCCGAACCGTTCAACTTTCTCGAGGCGTACAAGAAACTCTTCAAATAAAGTTATAATTTATTTTACGATTCATTAATATATGCGAATGGTAGCAGTACAAATGTTATTTTCGTCCATTTAACCAATAAAGTTCATCACCACCAAATGCAGAATCACATGGGCAAAGATGAAGTCAGCAAAGCCGCGCTCCGGTGAGATGCCTGCGAACACGGCCTTGTTCTGCGGATTGGCCTGGAGACGGAGACACACTCCCAGGACGAAGCAACTGACGGTACTGATGAAGCCGGACAGGAACGAGTTGAACGGGAAGGTGCCCACCAGGCAGCAGTAAACAAACTGAATGATGCCGGTCAGCAGTATGTAGCACAGGTAGATGTCCACCAGCTTGAGTTTCTTTGTCGTGTTCTGCACATAGTCGTTGTAGAACTTCGATATGACGCCGGTGATTTCGACCACCATCTTTCTGCCGTTTTTAATGTATTTATTTCGGGAAATTGAGGCGAAAAAGTCGAAAATTGTACAAGATTCGCCCAGACACGTCACGAATAGAGCTGACAAAAGATGGCACTTTCGATTATATCGATGGGGCGATATATTGATGGTTCAACGATCGATGGTTACACACACTAACATTTTATGCTTTGACTTAAACCTTATTTTATAAACAATCCAATAAAAGGAAGTCCTTAAAGTTGGCCAATCTTACCGAGAATTGATCTATCAATTGGATAAAAATATGTCTTCACGGCTAAGGGTCCTAGGTAGCTAGCAATATTACACCGAATATCAAATAGATGAATTTGTTGGACCACAGGGTATTAAAATACACTTAACGAAAATTATGAATTTAACACAGTTTTGGTGAAAGACATCGTGTTTTTTTTAAGTAAAACTGAAGGATAGAAAGGACCTACTAGTGCAATTATAACTAGCATTATTTTCCGCGGTTCTTCGGAATATTTAACATAAATTTCGAAAATGAGACGATATATTTCTTACACTGTCTTATCGATAGATCCGCTGTCGACAGTCGGGTCACAATTGGCTAATTCGGTCGCAGGTATAATATTTAATGTAAACTGATTCAAAACAGATCGTAACGTGTGCCTAATGACAATAACAAAACATGCACTGATGTTGCAACAGGCTGTTGACTGTTAGCGTGGAAAAGAATTGGAAGCTGTTATCAGGAGAAAAGTGTCCATGAATGAAGGCGTAGTGGGATGACAACGTGAATCATTGTTGTTGCTTTCTTGTTGCTTGTTTCACAGATTCACATCAATTTCGCACACCACAGCTAGGTGGCACAATCGCGCGAAATACACCCGCTGCTAGCACACGCATGCCTCTCTGCACCTAAACACCCCACACATGTGCATGCAATCTGGGAGTACTTCAATTTTAATTTGATTTTGCACCCAGATACAAGTTGTACACTTGCGCATCGACGCTGTGACCTTCGCAGGATTGGGTCTCGTCTCGTGTCTTCTGCACCGCTTTCATTGTCAGTGTCAAGAAGAAAAATCAATGGAGGACTTGACACCATTAACCAACCTTCAACAGGTAGAAAATACATACATATACGAGTATGTACATATACATTTTGCATGAATTTATATGGGAATTTTTCCATTTTCAGTTGATTTTCATTCTGTTTATTATGATTTCTTACAGTTTTAGTTCCAATAATTCCACAATAACTACTGTGCATTCCCAATATTTTGTGACTTATTATCCGTAAGTGAAAAAATGTTATTACATGCATATCTTTATAATTGCTTAACGTTTTATTGTGCAAGTCGGTGGTGGTGCAAGGTCCGGTGAAGATAAGAGGATATAACCACCAAGCACCTTTTATTTAAGATGATTTATGCTTTGTTTGCTATTCTTTATGGTGCACAAACAAAGCTTAGTTTAATTATGAGAGAGATGTTAGAAAAAGCAGCACCCAGTCTAGCGATAAAGTTGTAGACCTGGAAAGATACAAGTACTTACTTCACCCACTTTTACTATATCTAAATCTATTGTGTATCAAAATCTCTGATAGAATAGACCTTTTGGCAAGTGCTTGTTATATACTTTATACTATAGTGGACTATCTTCTGTTTTGAACTCTTATAAATCACACCTCGCTTGTAATATACTTCTTCGGAAGTATTCAATTTCGCTTAGTGACAGAAATTGTACGAGAAAATTACTGCTGTATCAACAATGAGAAAAATATGGGTGGATATTTGATAACTTGTTTGGATATATATTATATAATTGTGGTATTCTGATGCATAGTATTATGATCGGTGGCGAGCTTGATGATATGTAGGTCTTATCGCGCCCTCTGTAGAGCTTGTTTTTGTGTTTTCGAGCTTGGGAGCTATACGAAAGTGAGTCACTGGACTCGAAAATTTGATATCGATTTGTGGATGTATGGATGGGACGGAGGCTTGCGTTACATTTAAATGTTTTTATATCAGGTCGAACTTCGAGTCGAGTCAAGTCCAAGGCTGCGGCTGAGTGTCTGACTATCTGCTTCCTCTGCCTCGAAATTTTCCACTCCCTCCGCTGCGTGGGACTGGGACGCGCTTCTGTCTGTCTGCACTATCAGAAATTTGTTATTACTCGTATGCACGCATTGGAAATCGGGGACTAGTGGAAAAACTGAGTCAGCGGAAAATTTTACAAGTCGAAAAGCGGGCATCGTTAACGCATAGAGGTTCAGTGCGATCTGTGCGGCCGCGGAGAATACATGTACACATCTATTCCCAGTCGCTCTTAATTGATCAAAGCATCAATTCGTACATCTCTTTTAGATTCCGATTCCGGAGGGTGCGGCACGCAAGAAAAAGATGACGGAACGCCAACCGTTGCTGCTCCAAAGCGATGCATCGGACTATGAGGCTAGCCGGGGACCAGCACGACCGGCCCGCAGCTCGCCGCCTGACAACACGCTCGTTAATGTCCACAGCGAGGACAGCATAGCAGGTAAGTGCTTGTTGAAGGTGCAATGGTTCGAATAAAGAGTTCACCCCCACAGTGCATGCGGCAGCCTCGGCCTCGGGATCCGGAGACGAAGATCAGGCGGCTGTGGACAAGGGCAGCTATAATCCCTCTCTCCATCGCACCCTGGAACATCCGACATCCAACTCGGAGACACTGGTGCATCTGCTGAAGGGAAACATTGGCACTGGCATTCTGGCCATGCCGGACGCCTTCAAGAATGCCGGTCTCTATGTGGGTCTCTTTGGCACGCTAATTATGGGAGCCATTTGCACGCACTGCATGCACATGCTGGTCAACTGCTCCCACGAGCTGTGCCGGCGGCTGCAGCAGCCGGCCCTGGACTTTTCAGATGTGGCCTACTGCAGCTTCGAGACGGGACCGTTGGGTCTGCGGCGATACTCTCTACTGGCCAGGCGGATCGTTACCACGTTTCTGTTCATCACACAGATTGGGTTCTGCTGCGTGTACTTTCTGTTTGTGGCGCTGAACATCAAGGATGTGATGGATCACTACTATAAGATCAATGTGCACATATATTTGTTGATTATGCTGATGCCTATGATTGTGCTGAACCTGGTGCGGAACCTCAAGTATCTGACTCCCGTTTCCCTCATTGCGGCGCTACTAACGGTGGCCGGACTGGCCATAACCTTCTCGTACATGCTGCACGATCTGCCCGACGTGCACACGGTCAAGCCGATAGGTACATGGGCCACGCTGCCCCTCTACTTTGGAACAGCCATATACGCCTTTGAGGGCATCGGTGTGGTGCTGCCGCTTGAGAACAATATGCGAACACCCGACGACTTTGGCGGTACCAGGGGCGTTCTCAACACGGGCATGGTAATCGTCGCCTGTCTGTACACATCTGTGGGCTTCTTTGGCTACCTGAAGTACGGCGAAGACGTCAAGGGCAGCATTACACTTAATCTGCCGCAAGGCGATGCGTGAGTTGAAAAACTTTCCATTCACAATTCCTTCATTACACACATCTCTTATACTCTTAATCTTTCAGCCTCTCGCAGCTGGTGCGACTTACCATGGCCGTGGCCATCTTCCTCTCGTATACGCTTCAGTTTTATGTGCCCGTTAATATTGTAGAGCCGTTCGTTCGCAGCCATTTTGACACTACGCGGGCCAAGGACTTGGCAGCGACTATCTTACGAACAGTGCTGGTCACTTTTACTTGTACGTATAAATAGAAATCTTTGCTTGATGGTTCCCCTTCTAATATATTCTGTTTATTCCTTACACAGTTCTGTTGGCCACCTGCATTCCCAATCTGGGCTCTATTATTTCGTTGGTGGGAGCCGTCAGCAGCTCTGCATTGGCTCTCATTGCGCCGCCAATTATTGAAATTATTACGTACTATCATGTGGGCTATGGCCGCTACAATTGGATGCTATGGAAGGACTTCCTTATCCTGATCTTTGGACTATGTGGCTTTGTCTTCGGCACTTGGGCAAGCCTGGCTCAAATTTTAAACGATAGAACTCATTAAACAGGGAAAAGTGTGTGCGAATTTACGAATGTCGAAGGCTTTACGTAGCAGTCGCGAACTCTACGAATATTTATATAATTAGGTTGTTTGCCCCCTTTTTTAAAACGTGCATCGAGCACAGTGGCGGTGCTCAAATTTTATTTTATTTATTTTTTGTCCACGAATCAGTTGCAATTCTGTGTTATCCATTAGCTACAATTCTTGTACCAGACAATAACTAGCATTTTAAGTATACAATTTTACATATATGTAGTTTTTTCTTGATTTAGTTTTACAGTTTAAAGGAGGATTTTATTCGAGGACCGCGCCGCGCACAATGCCAAAAGTGATTTTTTCTCGTAGTATTCTTAAATAAATTATTGTTTAGACTTTACTATGGATCCGCAGTAGTCTAGGCCGGATCGGTGTAGATCTTTCCAAAACAACGGCTAAGAATTTACCAGAAACGAACTTTAGCTATAGCCTAACCACATACTTTTATCGTTATTATATACTCCATAAAGGGTCCCCCAAATCTTCTGTATATACATATGTATTCGGTGTATCCACAAAATGTTCTTTAATTGTTCAAGCAGTAACAAAAGACAATAATTAATGTAATGTTTATAAAAACCAATATCACGACTGTTCTTTCATATCTCTACCACAGTACAGGAACGCGAACAGCCACTGTTTGTGGGTTAACCAGTCTCAAGGGCCTCTCGGAGAGTAAAACCAATCGTTGAAGCTGGGGCTGACGTCTGAGCTGCTTACTGAGACGTGCCGGTGCCTGGTCGATAGGTTGCACCTCTTCTGCATCCGGATCGGGTGTAAAGTCCTGCGGCTCATCAGCGCTGGGCAGCTGCTCCACTTGGTCGGTTGGTGGGGGGCCATAAGTTAGATCCGGGGGTCCATAGGTCTGGTCGGGCACTCCCTCCTCGAAGGGTATCTCCGGTTTGAGCTCCTCGGCGGATGGGTAGGGTGCCGCCTGCTGTTTTTGTAGCCGCTTGGTTGATCTAGCTGGCTGAGCTCCAATCATCCCAAGAGCCAGCATCAGGACCAGCAAGGAACATACATTCTTGGCGTAACTGCACATGGTACTTCTAGTAATGATTTCGATTTGGTAGACAACCAAACTGTTGAACAACTATTCGATGATTTGATAATTTTGTGCTGGAAACTTGCCTATTTATATGCTGGGACTAGGGCTACGTGGTTGGGTTGGTTAATTTTTGGATATTAAGACGTGGTCATATGGTTAATCATTGATGGCCCTTGTGTGAGGTAGGTCTGTCGGTCATGTCACGTTGCAGGTCCCCTAAACGGGAAGTCAATCAAAACAATTAATTTCAGTGTCAATGTTAGGTTGCACATAAAATATACAAGCTATAATTAGTCGAGTTAAAAAACAACAAAAAAAACTTTCAATTAACTGGAATTCTTTAAAAAAGATTTGTTTGATTGTGAGCCTGTAATTCCCAAGAACTTTTTCCATACTAAATGCCTTCAAATAACAGCCCCGGATGAAATCTTGAGCTAGAGTTCTTCCAGCTGAAAATGTATGCACTTGCGCTTATAATTCCCAAGTCTTTTTTCTCGGGTATGGCCGTATATAAACGCGTTGCCCGTCGAACATTAGCGTGTTGTTTGGAAGGAGAGCAAGTTAGCACTCCCCTAGACAAGGATGGAACACATAAACGAGCGGCTGGCACAAGAGAAAGCCGTTCACCAGTTTTTTTTTAAAGGGCTATACTTTTAATTAAATTAATTAAATATTATACACTATAATGATTTAAGTTTTTCATGCTGTTTTATAATTTACACCTAATAAATAGCTATGTATATTCAATTGCAATGTCATTTATTTCATAAAAATAAAATGAAAAAAGTTATACAAAGCTTTACCAAATTTTGTTTAAGTCCAATATTTAATAGTTATAGTAAATTTGATAAAAAAAAGAATGTCTCGCAATTCATGAGCAATGCAATGCAAAGTTTACCAACATTTCCATTAGATTGTTCATGAATACAGCGATATTCTTCTACATTTTTGTTTGTTATTTGGTCAATATTTGTCTAAATTAAGGAACAATGCCATTCAAGTGAGAAATAACTTTCACTTGATCCATTGTATTGTCCATTAATTCAGGCGATATTCATTTGCCAAGTGATCTGCCACATCTTCCATGCGGTGTTCTGGTATTTGTCACTAGAGGAGCCTTCGCACAGGCTGTACTCGGCATATACGAGAAGAAGGTCTGCTGCAGACCCGTATAGTTTTTGGTGCGTAGATAGTTCATGGCCCGCCAGCAGAGGCGCGTCCGTTCCATGACTATCTCGTTGACGTGATCCTTGAAGCAGGCCTGAAACTTCTGTGCCCTTGCCAAGAAAAGGTCATAATGTGCATTGCTTATTTCATGCTTCTCTCTGGTTTTCGAGTGTCCCATTAAAATAGTGTACAGCTCATGGTGCATCTCCGACAAATTCCTCATTTTCTGCCACGTATCACACAGCTCGGACCTCGTCGCCACCGTATAGCGTTTGCCGTAGCGCCGCCTTATCCATTCGCGTAGCTCCGGCACCTGATGACCATTGTATAGAGTAGCCAGGACGAGTTTCTTGTTCTTTTTGAGTATCTTGAAGGCATCCGACAGCATGTGGTCCATAAAAACCTCATCATCGGGATCGAAATGACTTTTTCCCTTGTAACTGAGACGCTCCTTTGGTTCAGGGCAGAATTTAAAGGCCGCCAGACTTCTTTCATAGATTCTCCTCACACATTGGTTGACGGCATCGTTTATATGCCACCGTTTGACTATAATTGGCTCCTTTATTTCCCTGCCATCATCCTCTTGAAGGGCTTTTAGCACGGCGCCACCAATGCACTTTCCAGCATCCAAAGACATCTGGTCGTATCTGCCAAACAGTCCTATATAGTCGAATATATAGGGCGCATGCAGCTTAGGGGCTTGGAAATAGTTCCCCTTTGTGGTGGTTCTCTCTTTTGTGGGTCGCCTACAATCTTGCCCGCCGCTGAGCCGCAGCATTTGGTCACAGCTGCCGTCCAACTTCGGCCAAGGCTTACAGTACTCTTCCCCCGCATTGTCCAGGACCATAACGGGAAGGGGTGCCGGACCCAGTAGCCGGCAGGCGGAGCATCCGATTTGCCGAAACGCTGGCACGCCGGGACTCCAGCGATTATTGCCAAACTTTTGGATGTATCGATCCACATCGCGCTGCAGTTGCTTAGCAATACGTTGTCTCGTTAGCTGTGGAATGGGCAAGGATATTGGATATGATATATGTATGTATAGGTGGAGAACCTTTCCACTCACCAACTTTCGCTCTTGGTCCACGTCAAGCATGGCCAGGCATTGCTTACGCTGCCTATCCACATACGATTCCCGCTCCAGCGAACGACTCTCCTGATGATATTTACACATATTCTGGCGATCTGCTTCAGGACCCTGCCGAACCTCGTCTATTCTATCGAAGAGCTTGACAATCTCTTGGCTAATTACGGATTTGACAATACGCCTGGACGGATGGAATTCGTAGTCGGCAAACCAGCGGTAATCCGGGTCTTCAGAGTCCTTTGATTCGTTCGGAATGCCCGCCTCGTAGGCGTGCGGTGTTGAATGGAAATATTTACGTTTCCTCTTGGGTCTTCGCTGCTTTTCAAAGTAGGGTAGTACTTTAGTACCCAGCTTGATGTTTTCTTTGCATTTTTTTTCGTTGGGATTCGGCTTTGAAGGACCTGTCTTCAAACGCTTCTCGGGAATCGGAAGTATTTTCTCCAAGGCCTCAATAGTGGCCGGCATATCCAAGTACGCGATGGCCGACAGAACGATCTGTTCATTAAGTGTGTACTTCTTATGCGGGCAGTCCGATTGGTACTCCATCGTATACAGAAAATATAGAAACGCCAAATTGTCACCCTGACTGAGCTCAATCATCTTGTTCAAGCGACAACAATCGAACTGGACACAAACGCCCAGGCGAAGCAGGCAATCGTGCACCCGGTGCGTGGTCGCCTCCTCCAGGTCCAGTTTCAGTTCAGTCTGTAGATCGCTGGCCGCCTTGATCTGTGCCAGCGACAAGCCCCGATGCCAAGGCGCGACAGGGAGTTCAGCCCCCCCAAGTATCCCCATATCAAAAATACACAAAAATTCACAAAAAAAACCAGAAGGAAAACAAATATTGAACGAAAATTTGTGTCACAGATGAAGTCTAGAGGATAATTTCGTATTATATGTATACTTTATATTCCATCAGCTTTTATTTGTCAATAGTGCTTAGGGGCATGGGGCATACCATTGCCACACGGACCAGTCGACGCAACCCCCAGTCTTGGGATCGAATCCTTGCAGCTGGCATTGCTCGAGCACGGCGTTGCCAGAGCTGTCGCAGACCCAGTAGTGGGTGGGATCCCAGAAGTCTCTTGTAACAAGTCCAGCACGACCAGTGCAGTCGGGTTTGCCATCGCCATCGGGATTGCAGATAGATGCGCCGTAGGACACTCCCACAAACAGGGCCAGGCACAGGAAAACTAGAGCTGTGTTGAAGGGATCTCCATCAGTTTCTGGTATTCCCTGGTTAGGCTCTCGGCTTCGACTTACCGGATTTCATTTTGGTATAACAGACAAATGCTTCTCTTCTGTATGTTCTTCCCCAATGATGTTACGTTGTCTTATATAGTCCGGAGTGGTTTCATTCTGGAACAGTTATCGGCCCGGACTTATGCCACACACTCTCACGTCTAGATAAATTATATTTTGGCGGTAACATGGAATCGCTTAAAAATAATCGTGCCATGTATCATGCCATATCTTTGACTTTGATTTCGGCTCGTGCCCCCAAAAGTTTCGGTTGACGCCATCGGTAGATTTAGGAAGAGTCTCCATGGAAGGTTCTTCATGGCAACTTTTTGTACAACTACAAAAAGCCTTCTTAAGATTTTTGCTACAGATTTGGGTACCCCTCTTATCATTTTTGCACAAAGTTTACACGAAGTACATGCAAGAGATTTCATGTTACTGCCAAAATATGATTTACACCGACAAGAGAGAGAGAGTAACAGGATCTCTCCCGACTATAGGATGGCGTATCTTCATTGGGTAAGAGAACTTAGAAGATTCGCCTGCTCAACCAAAATGGAAGCAGACCTGGAGTTCCTGGTCCTGGACTTATTTATGATTGTCTCTTTTTTTATGCTTTAGTTACTTTCAAATAATCTAATATTATTTCAAATATTAGCACATACCGTACATAGGTATTGTTATGACCTATATTCGACCTTTTTGTCTCATTTTAAGTACATATATTAGACAAAAATTCTCATAAATAAGAATGATGTATTAATTCTCCCAGAAAAAGTTAATCTAACGTTGACTCGTCTGCGAAACTCTGATTATTTGCAGTACATGTGCGAACTGAACCCATAGATATACTATCTCATTTTATAGATTTTATTTGCTCAACTTTATTTTAGTACAAGTACTACAAGACCCAAACCCCAATTAAACAAGGAAAATGTTTATAGTATTCGTTTCTGTAATAATTATCCGTTTTTTGAGGTGGTAGAGAGATCTAATAGTGATGGCTGGGATGGGATTGAATAGTTCTCGAATCTGTTCTGTGGTTACATTCCAATAATTAATATTGTTGGCGAGTTTGGAATAATGTGCTGGGTTAATCGACTTAAAATCAAAGGCCATCATTTCATAGTTTTGTATACATATTTTATTTTTTCATTGATGTTTAAGGGCATGGTGGATACCAGCTCCACTGCGACCAGGCGACGCACTCCTTGCTGACGGGATCGTATCCTGTCTGTTCGCAAAGCACAACCTGGGGCTCACCAGCTTCTGCGCACAACCAGTAACGGGTTGGATCCCAGTTGTTACGGAATCTTTCTCCAATATTTCCAGATTGGCAGGCTGGCTTTCCATTGCCATCAGGATCGCAGTCACTAGCGCCATAGACGGCAGCCACGAACAGGGCCAGGAACAGGAAAACTAGAGCTGCAGTGTGAAGAATTTTCGATCAGTTTTGTATTTTTTTAGATCACATTTCCACAAACACCTACCCGCTTTCATGTTGAATGATACTCGTGCGAATGTGAGTTAGAACTGCAAATGTTCTACATTTTATAGTCGAGCTCCCCACCTGATACGTGTTCTATTATCTGAGTGTGGCCCACTCCTTGATAAATTCTATTTTCGGTGCCTGTATGTGCACACATATGCATTTATTCTGGTAGCATTGAAAACCAATCACACAGTGTAGTGCTACCGGCATTTGAATTTCGGATGTGGTACCCGGTCCCCGACTGACGCAATCGGGCGTTAGCAAGGTCAGTTAGGATCCACCACTGCTAGAATGTGTTGACGTTCAAAGAACTGTCTCAAACACTTAAAAACTGCCGATAGTTCTTAGGGAATAAAGGGGTATACTTCTGAAGTAATTATTTTGGTAAGGAACTAGGTTTTCTAGCAATTCGACGAAGGTATTGATATTTTTTACCGACCTGATCCCTGTACGTCAGGGGTTTTAAAATGGTATGCTCTTTGGTGGGTCGTTTTTTCCACTGTTGCCACTGTTGAGATCTCCTTTTATCAAAGACTATAAAATAGACTAAGTATTTTCTTTTTTAATTGGATTTTTCCAACCGAAACTTTTGTGCGCCTCGCCAAAGACTGCGTGTTGTTGGATTCTAGGACCGACATCACGAAAAACCCCTCCACAGAACAGCTTTTTAGTGCCTCATCCAACTTCTTGGTAGTTGTATAGTCTTTGCTTCTATAGAGTGCAGGGCATTCCCATAAGATGTATTCCGGTGATGCGTGGTCCAAAGGACTCCCCTTTGGCCAGTGCTGTTGTACTGCCATTTTCTGATCATTTCCGATCTGCGTCCTTAAGTATCAGTATTATACTCTTCTAGGGGAATTAGTCAAACTATGTATATTCTGTATATTGGAAATGAGGGTGGCTCCTACTCCATTGGCTGTTGATAGAAGGTTCCTGCCGCCCTTGGGGGGTCGCTCCCTCTTGTATGGTGGGGACCAGAGGTTTCCCCCTTACAAGAATTCAAAAATAATATCTAAAGACAGTAGTGTCTTAGAAACTAATGTCGTAACTGTCACAGATCCGATCCAATCACTGTTTGTTGTGGCCATATGTTGAATATAAATTTAAAGTAAATTATTACTGGGAATGCAGACGGGGGCGCCGTTGGTGGTGCAGTCGGACGATGGCCAAGGACAGCAAACCATCGTGATACGCCTGATGCAGCCGACACCGGGCGCCAACGGACAGACACAGTGCATGCCCATATCCGTGCATGCTATTCCTCTGTACATCATGCCACAGCCGCAGCAGCAGCAGCAGCAGCAGTGGCAGCCGCAGCAGCAACAGCAACAGTCGCTGGTGGATCAAAAATCGCCTTCCAGTCATCGGAACCAACGATATTCAACGAGAGTGCAGTCAGAGGGACAATATCAGAGGGAGGCCAGGACGCTGGAAGATTTTTCAGTCCCCCCAGGCAAAGTGGGTGGCCGGTCCAACGGCAACCAGAGGCGTAGACAAGTGTGCTATAAAGTGGAGTACATGCTATGTCCAGAAGATGCCTTATATTGCCAGCCAACGGAGCCCAATGCTGGCAATCAGTTCGGTGATGTACGCGGCGAAGCTCCCTGTTGCAATCAGTACTGTATGGACTATCAGGACTCCCAGGCGGAAAAGGAGTTCACATACGCCATGGAAAACATACCAAGGAAATGTGGAAAATGTCGATGCGGCCCTTCGACTACACAGGTGGGGACAATCCCAGGCAAGAGCGAAGATATCCAATGGCATCAAAATATTGCTCAGACAAGCCGTGAAGAAAATATCGAAAATTATGATCAAATGGAGCAGAAGACCGAAGATGGCTACCGAAGGGATCAGAAGACCGAAGATGGCTACCGAAGGGATCAGAAGACCGAAGATGGCTACCGAAGGGATCAGAAGACCGAAGAAGGCTACCGAAGGGATCAGAGTACTAATACAAATGCTCAGGAGTGCCCTGACTCCCCGAATCTGGAGTACATCAAGACGCTCTGTGAGACGCTGGGTCGAGCCATGGTTGCCTGTGCCACAGCGGCAGCGGAGGCTGCGGAGGTCAGGGGCAAGGTGTCTGCCAATCTGGGTCTGTCCGCCAGCAACTGGGCAACCGCGCCCAGTTTGCTAATGCAACAGACACCGACTACAATGGAAGAACCGGCATGCTGTTTAGACAGCCAGATGAGTATTACGGTGGAAAACATCAACCCGGAGATAACCAACATGCGAGGAAAAGCTGAAAAGCTCAAACAGATGGCAGGGAACAGCTCAGTAGAATCCATAGGAGCCTTACGAGCCATAGGATCCCAGAGTTCAATGGACAGCCCCGAGAAGAGATCGTCGTACACCTTAAGATCGATACAGCAGACGCTTGACGTGTCACATTCGAAATTCCGGGACATGTCTCATAGCTCGAAAGGGGCTACAGTCAGCAAAGACTCCAAACAGTCGTCAGGATCTTCGGATAACAGTGCTAGGAAGACGAAGAGCACACCCCGTGTCTCTACCCAGACTCCAAGATCTTCAGTCAGCGCTAGCGAACGAAAGAGTTGTGGCTCAGCCTGTGCTTCGGAAGGGAAGAGCTCTGCCCGTGGCTCAGCCACTACGTCGGAACGGAGGAGTGAACGACCTGCATCAAGTGCAACGGAAGGGAAGAGCTCTGCCCGTGGCTCAGACAGTGCTACGGAAAAGAAGAAGAGTTCTCCAAGGGGCTCGAATCAGAGTGCTCTATCTATTGCTAAGCAAAGGAAGAAGAGCTCTCCCAGTGGCTCGAATCAGGCTATCCTATCTTCAGGTATTTCTAAGGAAAGGAAGAAGAGTTCCCCCCGTGGCTCGAATCACAGTGTCCAATCTTCACGTATTTCTAAGGAAAAGAACAGTTCTCCTCGTTGCTCAGACGGTGGCAGAGCAATTCGGAGTCCAAGATCTTCAGTCAGCGCTAGCGAACGAAAGAGTTGTGGCTCAGCAGGTGCTTCGGAAGGGAAGAGCTCTGCCCGTGGCTCAGCCACTATGTCGGAACGGAAGAGTGATCGTCCTGCATCAAGTGCGACGGAAGGGAAAAGCTCTGCCCGTGGCTCAGACAGTGCTACGGAAAAGAAGAAGAGTTCTCCACGTGGCTCGAATCAGAGTGTTCTATCTATCGCTAAGGAAAAGAAGAAGAGTTCCCCCCGTGGCTCGAATCAGAGTGTTCTATCTATTGCTAAGGAAAAGAAGAAGAGTTCTCCACGTGGCTCGAATCAGAGTGTTCTATCTATTGCTAAGGAAAGGAAGAAGAGTTCCCCCCGTGGCTCGAATCAGAGTGTTCAATCTTCCGGTATTGCTAAGGAAAAGAACAGTTCTCCTCGTGGCTCAGACAGTGCCGTAGCAGTTCGGAGTACAAGATCCTCAGTCAGTGCTACCGAACGAAAGAGTTGTGGCTCAGCCTGTGCTTCGGAAGGGAAGAGCTCTGCCCGTGGCTCAGCCACTACGTCGGAACAGAAGAGTGAACGTCCTGCAGAAAGTGCAACGGAAGGGAAGAGTTCTCGCCGTGGCTCATCCGCTACGACGGAACGGAAGAATTCTCGCCGCGGCTCGAGTCAAAGTACAGGTAGTTCTGCCAAACGGAATTCTTCAGCCAGCAGCAGAAAAGGGTCTTCAGGGGCCAAGCCAGGCGTCATCCGCTGTCCTACCAGCTGCCCCCAAAGCGCCCTAGTGATGTCACAAGCCAGAAAGGTGAAAACGCCTTCGCCATCCCCAGAAAAACGGAGAGATTTCATAACTACGGTGAATAAATCGCAGAGATCGATGACTTTGAAGCCCCTGAAATGTTGTACAGCATGCAAGTACATCAACTACTGCTGCTGTAATAGATCACCAAGTCCTCCGAAACCATTAGGTCATTGCTGTAAAAAAGTTGGCTGCCCACCATGGTATTGTTAATAGTTTCTATAAACGGAATTCCGGCATACACATACTAGAAATAAACAAAATGACAAAAATCTATATCTATTGAATATATTTAAAAGCATTATGGAACGTCTTACTCATTCAGAGCCCTGCTTGGTGGATTGATGGATTCCGTTTTTACATTGGACTTAAGATAAGAGAAATTAACTCAAAAAATTCCAGTAGCGCTTTGGCTAAGATTACAATATGGCGTCGGGGAAATGTTTCTATTTCTTTTCGGTGTTATTTTTTAAGATAGCAATTCCGCGAAATACCACCGCAATTCTCAATAAGCTGATAAGGTGCAGACACGTTTTCATAGACTACCACCAGAGTCATTTTGCTTCTGTTTTTTTTTTGGCAGGAAATGTTTGATCATTGACTTTGCCGGAAATTTCAGGCAACAAGCAGGGCGCTAACTGTTTTGGATCTCCGTTTAAAATTTGACAAACATCTAATGAATTGGTCATGTTCGTCGGAATGCAACCAACATGAACGAACAGTGATAATTTCATAATGATTCTTAACTATGCAGCGACCTGCAATCATTTCCCCTGGGTGGCTCGAGTAGTTTCTCGCTTTAGACATCTCCAGATCTCGCCTTTCACATTAACATACTCGTAGTACACATACACATATCATTCCATAAACCATTGACAAATCTAAGCTTCAGGCAGCTCCGCTCCTCACCCACTGATGAAACCTCTTAAGAAAAGTGAAAATCCACCACACGTCTAGCGAGACTGATTGGCGCAACGAAGCAGACAATTGCCAAAGCACAAGGCACAATTTGTCGCCACTCCACTGCAGTGGCAGTAAGTAATACAATCCCCCAAAACACTATTATAAAGTCGATGACATCGCTGCCGGGCGAGCTTAGTCATAATGTGGCCCACCAAACGGAAGGTTCAGGCGGCGTTAAGCCTGCTTTGGCTCAGTCTCGTCTCAGTTTCTCTGGCAGAGAACGCCAACGATGATCCGGCCAGCAATCAAATCAATTCGGAGGGCTCGGCATCAGGCAAGAGTTTCGATCCACCGCCAGAGTTCTACAAAGGTGGCCTCTCATCGGAGACACAGGCTGCTTCAGGACTACACCCTTCGTTGGGCAGGTTGGGTGAGAGCCTGAACGAGGCCTATAGCAAGTGGCGCAATAGTCCGCAGGAGCGCATTATTGTGGGTAAGCTCTAGAATTCTATACTGTCTTTTGCCCGCATATAAATGTATCTATTATTAGGCCACTATGGAGGCGGAGTAGCATCGCATGGACAGAACCACGCTAACTTTGAAACAAATTCCCATAACCATCCATATCCTTATGAGTACAACACACACGGCGGGGGGTCTGTTGGTGGTGGGGCTGGAGCCTACTACAGCGGCGGCTCAAGTGGCGAAACAGGTGGAATACCTTTCGACGTCTATGGAACGCGTCATGGTGCTGGCTTGGGCCATCCCCATTATAATCCTGCCCCAGCTGGCCCGGAGTATGCCTATCACTATCCTGTGGAGGCCCATGAGATAGCCACGCACAAGGGCCAGGGACATACCGAAGTCTCGGCGAAGGCGCTGTTGGCCAAGAGTTTTTTAATACCTCTGGCAAGTGCGGCTGTACTGGGCATAGCCGCCGCCTTGGTAAGTAATCCTCTGCTGCTGCAATTGGGCACAGTCTCCGGATTGGGACAGGCGTTAGCCGGCAAGCGCAAGCGACGTTCTCTAAGGCGGCCGCATCTATCTGACAAATGGTAACAGGAATGCGGGGAAGGGAATTTAATTAATTCATTCAATAAATATGCCATTCATAGCAAGAGTAAACAATGAATTCATTTAATTTGATTTTTTGTTTAAATGAAGTTGTACCGATAAGTAAAGACCTTCCCTTCGATAAGATTATATTTATACTGTTAGTTATACAAAGGGGACCTTTGACTTGATCAAAATGCCAAGAAATTCTAAGAAATATGCGCTTATCGTGCAATAACATTTTATCAGATGATTTATAGTCATCACAATTTAATCTACAGTAATCCAACTGCGATCCAAAAAACCGCCCAATTTATTTTTAAATTACGTAAATAAACGTAAATAGTAATATTTGGTTTTGAATTAGTGTCTGTATCAAAATATTTCTGTAGAACATTATATTCTAAAATATAATATGGCGCCTCTTTAGGGTTTTCTAACCGACAATCTGTAAAAACCTCAGCAAACCCCTTATGGGAAAAATATGTGTGCGCTGTGCTGTGGAATGGAATGTTATTTTATAGAATTGAGGAAGTTACAGTTCTTCTTAAAGATAGGCCGAAAACGTACCAGAGATCAAGATCGGGACTGAGATATATACATATAAAGAAAACAAATCAAATGCATGGATATATAACGTTTCAAAGCAGAAATAGGGTATATAAATGTCCATACCACCGGTTGACAAGCAACAAGTGTTCAAATACCAACAACATGTAAGAAATGACGTAACATTCCATACTCAATTACGTTACATTTCAAGCTCACTTACATTTTATACCGCTGGTGTTTGAACAATGTGCCTCGAGCATACAAGACATTCGATTCATACCAGTGCTGCAAATACTTTAAGCTATTTGTTGTCTTGTCGTTATGTTCACCAAACGCAGATACCGCTCTCGCTTTGCCAGCGACGAGCAACAGGGGAATACGGCTGTGGATGCTACAGTGTCAACTGGAGTCCTCAGCTACGTGGACGAGTTCAGCACGATGATGAAAAGAGCTCACATGGGTCAGCGCCATCTAAGTAACAGAAAGGCCAGGCCAGCCTCACTTTCCTCTTGCTGGACATCTCCACAAAAGTTTGAAATGCATATGGCCCAACCAGTCCCTGGGACGAACAGTGGAGATTCAACGTCTAACATTCCACTACATTCGGGCAATTCAGATGCAGCTAGTGTCGGCTCTAGGGCACAATTCAACCTCGATTCGAACTAGAAACCTCTTCGGCTGCGAAACAAACAATGGGGTTTATTCCCAGCCACACAATATTGTTATATTATAGAGAAAAAGGGAATGCACATAGAAGGGGGTTTTGCTTATAAGCTAGTGTATAATTTGTAGAAAAATATCAGTCTTTTAAGATTCAGAATATATAAATATTTACCAGCACACAGACTTTTCTTGGAGTATGCTTGCATGGACACGTTGTGCAAGAAATCTGAAAATAGGACATTTTTTAGTTCTCCCACACAGACCACAGCCTGATGTCACCTACCTCATTGCATGCGTGGGCACAGCTGCTACAAATAAAAGAAAAATTACATTGCTTTGCTCATCCGCATAGGCATAACACTTGTGATAGTCCGAGCAGCTATATTGATCCATTAGCACAGTTGTTGTTTCTCGATTAGCCTCAAATTGCTGGATTGTCTCCATTGTTTGGTCAAAGAACTTCTTGAGCATGTCCAGACGCTGCAGGTCGCCCACGATAATGCGCTTGGCACTGGCCGACTGGTGGAGATTCCGGGTGAAGAGGCTTTTGCGGGACTGCCGATTGATTAGGATAATGGCCAACACGTTGCCATCAATATCCAGATGCTCGGGTAGACTTCGGGGAACGCAGCGTTCGGCGGCGGCCAGCACATTTCCCTCGTTTCGATAGGCATTCATGGCATGCATGTGCAGCTCTCTAAAGGAGGCATTTTCGGCACCACACAGCACACAGAGAGCACTGTTCGGAGCAACGGGTATGCTGACAAAGCGGTAGGCAATGTTTGGACTCTTTACGGGCAGATAGACAGGCACATCATGTTGCAGCGTGCTGGAAGAGTTCAGCAGAAAGAGCAAGAGCTCCCTGTCTATGGTATCCAAATCCCACCAACCCTCAGTGGCCACGGCAATGCGATGACCCACCACAAGACAGCAGAACAAGGAGCCGCAATGACCGCTGAACTCATTGAGGCACTGCAGTAGTTGGCCATTATCCGAAGTCAGCACACAGTCGGTGTACCCAAGCAGTTGCGTACCAGCACAGGCTGCCTCAAGAATAGCATCGACAATGGGCACGTACTTTTTGGCATCCTTCTTGAGGCGTTCCAGCAGCGTGGCGTGGGCCATCTCAGATGCACGCGTGATGAACATACCAATGGCGCCAAAGACCAGGTCGGCCAGCGACTGGAGGAGCTGCTCTGAACCCACACCGCTGCTACAAACAATCAACGTGACGGCATTGCGGTCCCGCCAAATGTACGTCCACTCTTCCGGATCGGCGAGTCCCGACCCCTGAGCCTGAAGTGGTTGTTTACTGGTCGTTGTCGCTTCCAATTGAATGCCGAGCGATTTAAAGAACATGTGAAACCCGTTGAGGGAAGCAACAGTTGAAAATGGCAACTGGGGGGGGAAATCAAAGTGGAAATTAGTAAGGGTATTTTTAAGGGCCCACGTAAATACAACTCACATTGTCACATTCTCCCTTTTTGCGTGTAAATACGGGCAAGCCACCGTTTGTTGTTAAACATAGCAAATAAATGGACATTTTACGCACTAACCGCCGGTTTAAAACAAAATACGGGGCCGACAAAAATAAAAAAAAAATATTTGTGGTACGCACACACACACACACCACTGCAGTGAGATAAATATACCGTCCGACTCTCAGAAATATACCAAAATATACCGTCTTATTTCAAATATATACCGTAAATATACTGACAAATTCAAGTTCTGTTTTTTTATGCACGGTGGTGCGATTTTAGAAAGCGAAAATTCAAAAGCCTGCATATGGAAGTTTCTATACCATTTGTTCTTAAATATATCTTTAAAAACACACACACACATTGCCCGCGAAAATATTTGTTTCCCATTGAATTAGTTTTTCTACATATCAACTACACAGAGGTGAATTGGCCAAGGAGACACCTGACGGACGCCTCTCATCATGTAATGTAAAATGTAAAAATATATACATGCCTTGCAAAGGACCTATTTCGCTTCAACCTTTTTTTACGCAAAATGCAATAAAAGCAAGTGTTTAAAATAAGCCAGTCAGTAGAAAGTGATCTAGATAGGTAGTAATATTCCACGGAATATAAAAGGAATATAGAAATTGAATTCGTCAGTTTATTTGCGGTATATTTTTAAAATGAGACGGTATATTTTGGTATATTTCTGAGGGTCGGTCGGTATATTTTAACGATAAGTCCGCGCTCCCACTGGTCACATTGTTCACACAAATTGCATTTCGCATTGTCGTCTTCTTTTTCACACGCTGCTCTTTTCTAGAAATTGGAATAGGTGAGTAAAATAAGTTAATAACGTTAGTCTTAACAACAATTATCCTTCGCAGCACCGAAATGAGGTGCAAAGAGTAGTATTAATTGTGAAATGCCGCCGCAGTCTCGTCGCGGCGGCGACGGCAACGACGATGCGTTCAATTGTATTTGTGTGCGTGCGTGTGCGGTATGCTCCTGTGTGCGTGTGCGTGTGTGAGTGTGCGAAAAAGTGTAAGCGCGCGCAGGCAGCAAAGCAAGCGTGTGGTTGCTGTAGTTGTGTGAGTGTTCCAAAAAAGAAAATAAGAAAATCAAAAAAAAAATATGGTTGCCTGCCTGCCGAAAACGCAATAAATTTAATTTCCACTGTTTTCATCATTTGTTGACTGGATTTCTTTTCCAGTTCAGTGCAGCGGTCCAGAGCCAGGGATCGACATCCACATTGCCTTGCCAGTCCAATCCGCTCCCGCTCCACAACATCATCACAGTTGCGCTACATCGTTCACCTCAGGCCGGAGGAATAAGCTAAAGCAATCAAAATTAACGCGGACACAACCTCCGAGCGACGCAGACGCGAACGCCGCTTCTACTACAAAGCGATGGCGATGTTGACCTCAGAAGAGGCGAGCAAGCTCCTCGACTTCTCGCAGAAGCTCGACATCAATCTGCTCGATAAGATTGTCGAGGTGGTATACGCATCGCAGGGCGATCAGCTGCGCCTTGCCCAAGACATATTGACCACACTCAAAGAGCATCCGGAGGCATGGACGCGCGTCGATAGCATTCTCGAATATTCACAAAACCAGCAAACAAAGTTCTATGCCCTCCAAATACTCGAGGAGGTGATCAAGACCCGCTGGAAGGTGCTGCCGCGCAATCAGTGCGAGGGCATCAAGAAGTATGTGGTCAGTCTGATCATCAAGACATCCTCCGATCCCACTGTGATGGAGCAGAACAAAGTCTATCTGAACAAACTGAACATGATTCTGGTGCAGATCCTGAAGCGCGAGTGGCCCCGCAACTGGGAGACCTTTATTAGCGACATTGTCGGTGCCTCAAAGACGAACGAGAGCCTCTGCATGAACAACATGGTCATACTGAAGAATCTCAGCGAGGAGGTCTTCGACTTCTCCCTGGGACAGATCACGCAGACCAAGGCCAAGCATCTGAAGGACACCATGTGCTCGGAGTTCTCGCAAATCTTTACGCTCTGCTCGTTTGTGCTTGAGAACTCGATGAACGCTGCCCTGATCCACGTCACACTGGAGACCCTGCTCAGATTCCTCAACTGGATTCCCCTGGGTTACATATTCGAGACGACGCTCATTGAGACGCTGATATTTAAGTTTCTTACCGTACCCATGTTCCGCAATGTGACCCTGAAGTGCCTGTCCGAGATCGCCGGTCTAACGGCAACCAACTACGATGAGAACTTTGCGACGCTATTCAAGGACACGATGGTCCAGCTGGACCAGATCATTGGCCAGAACATGAACATGAATCACGTGTTCAAGCACGGCACCGACACCGAACAGGAGCTGGTGCTGAATCTGTCCATGTTCCTGTGCACCTTCCTCA